CAAGGAGTAATGACACGGCTGATTGGTGTCGTGCACACAGGTCTCTTTGACCCATTGGCACTTCCTCACGTAAGAGAGACTCCCTGCATAGAAAGCCATCTCATCAGGAGGTTGGGCCCTAGAGATTTTCTACTTGAAAGGTTTTACTTTAAACAACCTTCCTGGCGGAAAAATATGGGGTAGCAGAACAAAGGGAAGCATATGAATTTTCTGCTTTAATATTTAGAACTTTTATGGGGTTTAGACTAAAGCAGATTCTACCTCTTTTTAAAAAGCAACTTCTTATTTCCTGGATGCCAAAATAAGTCAGAAGAGGCCACTGCATGCTTAATACTGAAGCCTCTATAACCTTGAAACTACATGAAATACATACCCAGTAACCATGTCCACCATGACTGAAAGTGACTGCAAGCCAAAAGAAAGGCTAAGAGATGGGGCAGAAAACAAGTTAAGGTGGGCATCTAGGAACCTTGGCCTAGGGTTTTTTGTGTGGAGGGTAGAATTAGCCACCCAAGAACTACCTGCCCTTATGTTTTGCTCAGACTCCCTGTACTTTTAAGGAGAAGAATGATCATACAGATCCCATAGATTCTGCAAAAAAACAGCAAGAAATGCTCAGCTACACTAGTCCAAATGGACAGGCTATTGAAATTTAACTGCTGTGTCAGGTCACAGGCACTGTGTAAAGCCACATTCCTTGATCACTGTTGCCTTTTGTTACTGCTTAAAGGAAAGCTGCATGGAGCACAGGTGCACCTTCTCAGTGCCAGCTCTGCCATACTTTCTCTCTGCTTGAGTTTTTTTCAAAGTACTAAGCTAATGAAAACATCACAGTGGTGATTTTTACTGTTCTAGAGACTAGTTTGTGAACAGAATGCAAGCATTTTATGTAAGAGTGCTGAAAAACTGGAACATTAAGGGGAATACAGTTTGTCCAGAACAGATTTTAGAAGCATGATGCTGAAAATTAACTTAAGGGATTTTCCATATTAGTGATGGAAATATGGCTTAGGTAACCTGCTTGGACACATTTGGACCTTAGTCTGGAAGGTTGCCAGTTAAGAACATGGGTAGCCTGAAAAGAGTGAGTTAATTTGGAAATTTGACCCTGGAGAGGGTTGCTCAACTTTAAGAACTAGTTCTGCCTTAAAATCTGCCCTACCCCTCAAAGCTTCCACTGGGAGGTGAAATTTCAGAAATTGTATATCAATGTTGCAGTTTTTGAAATGCGTTTCATTTTTGTCAGACCTAAAACTACAAGAATGTTCTTTTTTGTGATCTCAGAATTTTGTAAGTCTATTTTGTCTTTTCCCAGTATCTGAGTTTGCTTTTCCAGACAAGTGCAACAGTCTATAACAGGCACAGTAACTGCAGGATTATTTACTTAGGGCTTTGCCTTTGCTAAAGTCCTTTCACTGGGGCTTATGTGCAGAGTTGCATGTGCTTAGTTCAGTGAAGTGCGGTTTAGCAAAGTACACTTAAATGGTAAACACACTGAAAATTTTATCTTACCCTTCCCACAGAAGAAAAAAAATACTATCAAAGAACATAGTTAGATCAGAAGACAAGGTAGTTATTAGATCAGAAACCCCTACCTTGTATTATTTTGAGAAGAATTCTTCTTGGTTTGCAGGTGTTTTCCCCCCTCTTTCTGAATCCCATCTGCCTCACCTCATATAGCAGCAGTTATTTTTCCATATTGCTAACAAGTATTTTCCTTTCTGTCTCTGGTGTTCTCAAAACACATAGCCAGTAATGCTTCTTAAAAAAACCTTCTCTCTTTATAAGCAAATCTTCTGTGAACTCCTTTTTAACTGCACATGGAAGTTCTCGCTGTGTTGCTGAAGAATGCCATGAACAACATGGAGTTTCCAGTGCATGTCTAGGTAGCTACAAGGAAATTGTTTGAGATTCCAGCTATCTTGGATGAGAAGACTACAAGCAGGAATGAAACCTGTGTGATCTTGGACAGCAGGAGCTGGGACCTTAGGGTTTGGTGCCTTCAAAGGCTGTGTTACTGGAAGTCCTACTTGCCTCCCAAGAAGGCTTCCCCTTTTTCCAAGACAAAACTGAAACTGTTAAGTACTGGAAGAAGAAGAAAAAGAAACAGAACAGAGGAGGAAAAACCCCTCAGCACCAATGAAAGTGGGAGGCTGGATAGAAAGTCTGGAGGAGATGAACACAGGACTCAGGCAAGGAGACAAGACATGGGCTCTTGCTACTGCTTTCTTTTTGCTAGGCTCCAAAAGACAAGGCAGTTCCTGGAGAATTGAGTCATTCTTTGAAGACAGAGAGAGTCAAGCCCACTCCCTTCCAGCATTAATGCTTTCTATGGAGCTGCCAGGGTCCTTTGTGGTAGGTCCTGCCTAGAAGACAATGGGATCAGAATGTTCCACAAACTCCTGAATCCCTAATGTGCTGATATCACCCTTTCAGAGAGGGTGATGAGAAACATTTCTTCAGGGTTTGTTTTTTTTTTTTCCTCAGGGTTTTTTCCTCATTTTCCTCAGGATTTTTCAGAAGAATCTCTTCTTGTGGTCTGCAGATGAAACAGCTCTTGCTTAAGAAACAAAATGCTTCCTGGGATCAGATAATACAGATCTCAATTTACTTCCAAGAGGGGTGTGGAAGGAAGGAAAAGTGCTGCTCACTGCCACTACTACTTTTTGTAGGGATACACAGTTAAAAGTTTCTTTTCTTCCTTTCTCTCCCAAGTACTATCAGTGTATTTCTCCACTGGAGAAAGTTTAATCTGTTCAACTCTGTCATCCAGTTCCACTGGAAATACAGGTGCAAACTGAACCACTAAGTTCTAAGGTGAATAAGAGTGCAGAAGGGAGTGAAGGTTTGGCATGTGCAGTGTGACCTGGAACTGCCAAGAACTTGTAAGTAAGAATTCTCTGACAGTGTGTGCTTGTGAACCTGCTTATGGGCAGCACTGACCCAGCAACAAAACTGAGAGGGCTGCCATAACCCAGAGCACCGTGACAAATAACACCTTGTATGTAAATTCCTGTCAGAATAATTGTCTTTCCAGTGCTTACTAGGTGCTTAATAAATGTCTGTAGGGAGTGAGAAATTTTGTTATTCTCAGAAATAAAACCCTCTACATGATGAAATAAAAACTCCCTTTTGAGGCAGTTGCTTTTTTGGTATGAAGGGACTTTACATTCTCAGCCATAGACTGCCCTGCAGTGGTGAAGCCAAAATCTGCAGCCTTACTGACTTTTATTCAGGATCTTTAGAATTCCTCATTAGGAAGCAGTTTGCCCATCACTGGAAGGGACAGAAAGAGCCTGTGCAAACTACAGACCAAATGAAAAATAAATGAAACAAGGAAGATTTCATATTTCAATGTAAATACAGTGTGGAGCAAAATTCACTACTGACTAGTAACATTTTATCTCTTTTTCATAAGAAACAAGGCAGATTTGATCACATCTTGTATCTGTGTCCAGAAGTTATTTGCTGACTTCAGTCAAATTTAACTGCAAAAATAAAAATCTCAAAGACAGCTAAATGTCAACAGATTTTGAGAAAAGCAGTTTCTGCAAAAAGCTCAAGGAAATATATGGTTCTAGTGTCAGCATAGAAATTTTTGGATAACAAAAAGTTCACAGAGGAGAGTGACTTTGTATGTGCCCTGGGAGAAAACTCTCAGTCACATCTTACAATGAATGTAGAGATAGAAATCCTTAGAAACCTGTACTAAAGCAGAAATTGGGCTTCAATTAATCTGCAGCTTGCTCTGTAAACTCACAAAACTTCCTTCTTGTTAGATCAGCTACCTCTTCAGCTCCAGAGAAATCTGCTTTCCAATCAGGGTTTTGTAATGCTGAAAAAAATACATGTTTCATTTTCTGCACATCCTTATCAGTCTTATAAAAAGGCAGAAATCTTATCTGCCTTTTAAGCTGGAGTACATTTGATAGTAGCAAAAAATGGTGCCACCAATCCTTTAGGTAGCAAAGATGACAGTATTGAGGTTGGCTATTGCCAATAAAGATTTCATTAATGGAGATAAAATAAACAAAAAGCTTTTTTTTTTTCCTTCACTACAACAGGTGTGGTTTACCCTCATTGTACTCTAAGATGATTCAAGAGAAATGAACATCTTCCAGTTACCTGTTTCACCTCCCCTTACAATAAGATAAACAGGCACTCCTTTAGATTTGTCCTTTGTTGAGAGACAAATCAATGTCAAAAATGGCTATTGCTTTCCATTTTCTGCAGAGGAAGCCTAGGATTACTTAGCTTAATGATGGGCATCTGTTTTGCAAATGTTGGAATTTGGAGAGCTCTTACTCTGGTAGTAACTGTACATCCTGAAAGCACTGTGAGTAATCTTCATATAGCTGAAGGACTACTTTTTTAGTGAAAATACATAATTGCAATTCTAACATACAGAGCCCTGCTAAAGTAAGTTCTGGTGATGAACTAAAGTTTCTCTAAGTCATCTGAAAAATTTCATGACCATCATTCCTCTTTGCCTTTGTTTTGGCAGACAGCATAATCTTCTCTCCCACCTTATAGACTGGATCTTCTGAACAGCCGAATCTGATCAGCTTTTAAGGAGACATGAGTAGATACCCCAAAAATTTTGGAAACCACTTGACTTCCTATAACTTGAAAAACAATTTTTCTTCTCTCTTCAAACTAAAACTCATCAAGACTGTATAAAAATGAGTACAAAAGCCATGCTTTTTGAGATGTGCTTTTAATCATTCAGAGGATTTGGAAAGGACTCAAGAGGTTGTGCACTTGTAAGAATACAAATTTGTGTTCTTATTTTGTGCACAAATAAATAGGGCACAGTTAATTAATTAGAGAACAAACAGGATGCAGTTACTGGGAAAAGTAAAGTTCAAAAGTAGTCAAGGAAGCTAAGAATGGTTCACAGTCCTTTCAGTCAATAATGCCAGAGGGGTTTTTTGCCTTCATTTTGATGTTAAGCTGATGGCTCTCTTGATCCTGTTCAGGGTGGTCGTCTTGTCATTTACTTAATTGTTCTGCAGCTCATTGGACTCTGGCCTCTGGCATTCAGTGTCTTGACAGCTGCAGCTCTCCACGTAGATGTACTTGTGTGACACTGCGTGCCCACCAGGGCATTTCAGAACCACGTGCTTCTCAGTGGTGCTTGTTTCTCTGCAGCAGGAGCAGCTGTGGTCCATGGAATTGGCCTCAGCAGAGTATCTGTCAACATGCAAAATGGCAATGTTACTCAGTGCCAGAAGCCAATGTACAGGAGAGGGTGGAATCAGGTACAGAACTCCTGTGAGAAGAGCCACAGTTGTGGCTAATGGAAGTGCTAAGCTCATCTGACAGAGCAGTGATTATAAAATGCCTAACCCAATCCGGGCAATGTTAACACAAAGGGGAAGCAGAAGCTCTTTCTGTTCCCATCTCACTGCAAAGTATTTTTTGCAATCTTGTGTTCATCAGCTTCCTAAGCACTATTCCTAACCTGAAGAATCTGTCAATATCAGGCTGCAAGCTGTGACAAAATCGATCTTTTTTCTTGTATTTGGTAGAAGAAACCACAACAAGACCCTAAGATGATCAGGAATTTCAAAATACTAATAAACTCCCTGGCTTCTCAGAGTTCCATGTGATACTGAAGATTAGTTTTCATCCATGTAAGGTGCACTGTGGCAAGCTCAGTGATAGGCAGTAAGTGACAGTTTCTTTGGAGAGCTAGAGCTGGTTTTGCAGTGTTTTAGTAGCTCATTACCTACTATGTCCTACTAACCTAGTGTTACCTAGATGTCCTACTAACCACTTCCTTATAATCAATTTTTAATATATTCTCTCATTTTAGAGAAAAATGTACTCAAGTTACTCTACTAACACCACAACTCAAACAACCTCTCATTTCTTCACTGCATAAAAATTGTGCATATTTGAATCTTCCTTTGAAAGATGTATGTGTATTTCATTTTAGCTGTTAACTATTGAGAAGCAGCTTTTCCACTTCCAGATGCCAAGTCTGGCTGCTCCCTGGGCTCATTCTCATTACAGGAAATAATCCATGTTCTTTTGTGAAAATTTCTAGCCTAGGTGGTCTGACACAAAGCCAGCTCTTAATGGATGAATAGCCCTTATCATAGCTGTCTGAATCCCAAGCCAATTTAATACATTTTTCTGCTTTGTATTACAACAAATCAGCTCGTCGTCACAGATTCCATGATTTTATGTCCACGATTCATGAAGCAGATAGTTCCAGGTCTTCTACCATTGTGTAGTCTACTATTTATTGTTCCTTTTATATAAACAAGCTCAGTGCCACCAGGACTTAAATCTCATTGTCTGGTGAGTTTACTTACAGCGAGAAGGTTCCACATGTTCCTTCACATTCAGTCATGTCAACTCTGTCCACGGAGCGGCAGCCATTGTAGACAATAAAGTCTTTTCTGTGGCGCACAGAGCACGGTGTGCTGCTGTCCAGAGGGGCACCTGCAGGGAAAGAGCAGAAAATACTTTCAGTGAAATAACTCCAGAAGTCCCTCGCACCTCAGCATTTCCTGGGCTTCACTAGTGCACTCAAAGAATTGCCTCAAGTGCTCTTTCTGCTTTTTAAGTTTAAACTTCTCCAGAGAGATCAGACAGTGAAGTCTTGGAATGACAAATATAAACGTAGAAGTATCTATTTAAATACAAATTTATCTGGAAAATGGGCTGATTTAAGAAGACAATTCATTCTCTGTATTGTTGATTCAGATACACTGGCATACTTACATGTTCTGCAACAACCATTAGGTAAGAATGAAATAGTTCCCTAAAAAAAAAGAAACAAAAAAATACATTATATTATTTTTCTATATTAAAAAGGCATTAAGGCCAAAACCTGAGGAGAGCAATACATCAGTGGCTGTAAATAACCAGTGAAAACTGGTTATTGTACTGTAACATTGATCTAAATAACCAAAGATAATAGCCTCTTCCTGACTTCACAAAGGACTGTGAAAATACAAACAATTCTTTGAAGGAAGTCTACAGTTAACATCATGAAATTTTTGCTCAGAAGCAATTTCAACAAATGGTTTCTCAGAGTCCTCTGTATTTGAATGGGAACTATGCACAGTGTTACTGCCAGTCTACTTACTGACTGAACAGCTTGTGTTTTAGCATTCAAGGAAACCTGGTTCTTGTTGAGACAGAACCCCAAACAAAGCAGTCAGCTAAGATTCAGTATCTTGGTGCTGACCAGTATTTTGGCCACTGAGAGACAGCTACCAATTATAACCCTTGAATTCTCGCCCAGGCATCTTATTTTGTATACTCTATAGGGCTGTGCATGGGTGCATCTAGAACTTCTGCCCTAAGGACTGAGAAATTATGATGAAAGGCCATCGGAGCTAAATTTTACTTTTGTTGTTAGTTAGATGGCTGAAATAAAATTAAGTAATCTATGTATGGAGTAGAGGGTAAATTTTCCATTTTTACTTACAGGTTTGCAGCTGTCTTCATTGAATGCTGGACAGGTAATCTCAGATGTGGAAGCAATAAGCTGGTCATGGAAATCTACACAGCTATAAATGGTGCAGTTGTTGTGAGGATCATTTTTAAAGTCTCCGGGCTGCAAGTGAAATGCAAAATGTAATAAGGAAAGCTGAAGGGAGCTCAGACAGAAATTTTATTGCCCTCTGATAATAACTTTCATCTTGTTTCCCAGTCAATTATTTTTAGGTTAACAGATCATGACATGTATTGCAATATGCCCTACATTGAGAGAATTTCAGTTTTATATGGTATTTTTCTTGAGAAAGAAAGAAAAATGTCTCTGAAGTACATGGAGTACTTTAACAAAATCCTCCATGCCAATGGATTTTGCCTTCAAAAAGCTAGACTATTTTATATTAATTAAGAAAGACTCTAAACTTTCATCCTACTATGGCAATAGAATTGTTGCATATGCAGGCTTTAATAGTGTTTTTCAGCATACAGAAATCAAATAACACAGAAAAGCTGAAGCTTCCAGATACTGGAAGAAAACCTCTTCCAATGGTATTGGATTTCTCATTCCAGGAAGGGCCTTACAGATAATTTTATTTGATTAAACCTACCTTCAGGTGAAAAAATTGTAGCTAGGTTTTGAGATTTTGATCTTTCAGGTGCAAGCTTATACTAAAGCCTTGTCTCTGGTAATGAGAAGTTCCCTTTTTGGAACTGGGAACTTTACAGATTTGGTGGAGAACTAAGACATAGCGCATACTTACACTCAAGATGAGTTCAGAATTGTCTGATGTCTTTATAATACACTTGGTCTGCACACATTTTCCACAGCATTCGCCGTTCACTGGTTTAAGTTCATATCCCTAGAAATTAAAAGTAATTAAAAACAATAGCACTATAATTTTTGAGAAATAAATGAAAACATATTAATTCATTAATTGATTACGCTTTGAAGTGCACTCAAGATTTGTGCCTTTTTGTGTTCCAAATCAACAGGAGACAAGTGATAGAAGTGGGTTATAAATGGAATAAATTAAAGCACTAGAATAAATATGCATAGTGATTAAATATTACTCCACAATGTGGTCTACAGAAATTTCCCAGCTAATTCTGCCAGTGTGAGCTGAATGTTAACAGTTACACAGTTAATCTCAGGCAGTAGATCACTCAAAGAACAGTTGATATCCATGCTGGAGTTGGTCTCTAGGTTTCAGCTCCCTGTCCTTTGCTTAATACCACTCACTGATCAAACTGGAGTTCACATATATAGATATTTTGGAGTCTTGTTTTTCTTTAAGTTTGCCACTTACTGGTTGACAGTATGTGTTGCAGGGGACATGTTCACAGGAGATTATATTCAGTTGAGTGCTGACGTTAACATCATTTGTGCAGACACAATTCTGGCACTTGTCAACAAAGACTGAGGAGTTGGGCTACACATTTAAAGGAAAAAATCACATATTAATGAGTTATTACATGTTTAAACAGATATTTATTAATTTTTTAAAAATCTGCAAATGAAGCAATGGAAAAGGAAAAGAATCAGATAAAGACAACTGGATAGCTATTTGGCTAGTCATTTAAGAAGACAACATTTAAAATACTGAATATAATTTAATGCATCTTTATTGAAGTCCTTTATATCAATGACAAACTCTGATATTAAAAGAAAAGGTACAATTACTAGACCCAAGAGAATTAGAAATCTAAATTTGGTTAGAATAATACTTATTTATATGGTTTTTAGTTTTTAAAAACAGAGTCTTAAAACTGCAATAATGTGCTGACAGTAAATGTGGACTGACTTTTTTAAATGCTAGCACACTTAACCCAAATTCCTCTATGACACTGACATACATGCAGCTCTTCAATTTCTTTCCTTTTGAAAAGTTTCCAGGAAAATTTTCAAAAAAGGTTTAGCTTTGTGAAATTGATAAACTCCTGGCAGAAATTTGAAAATTTATAAAATATCTATTGTACTGGATAAACCTTTTCATAGCACTTCTGATCAAATATACTAACGGTCTTTTAAGCATTTTTGAAGACTGTTGAAACAGAACTTACCAAGAACTCAGCATTCTCATGTACGCAAACCCCCTTGGGAACTGTTAATAAGCAAGGAGTTAGAAGTTTAGATAGGAAAAATGAATAAAAAATGTCTTCAACCCGCTCTAATCCAACTCATTTCTTCCACAATGAATCACAATTCATATGGTTATTCCCCAGTTCTGGTAGCAGATGCAACATGTATAAACTATAAAAACTAATACTGCATGTGCAAGAAGGGAAAAAGATTTGTCCCAAAATATGCAGTACAGTTCGTAGCCAAGAATGTCCACTTAACAGATACAAGTACTTCCTTGTTTCAGTTAGCAAGAACTGCAAATCTGTCTTTTACTGGGGATGCTTCTAGGGACTTTGCTAGATTAAGCTGAGAGCATCATCCCAGTTAATTCTGTAGCTGTTCTTACATTTATTTATAAGCAGGAAATTGAACTTGAGTCACCTGAGCTGTATCTGATTTCCTAGTTTCATAATTATAGCACTAATAACCAATTTTAATAGTAGTGAATTTGTAGAATCTGACTGTGTTTAACACCTCTTTCAAAAGGCTATTGCACAGTCTTATTAAGTGTAATGCTAAATTATGTAATAAACAGAACTATAAGGCTGATCTTTGTAATATATTTCCAAGGGACTTACCACATTGGTATACAGGACAGCACTGACCACTGGGAATATAAGAATGAACTTCAAATCCCAGTGAGCACTTGGGGGCTTTAGCTGTGCACAAGCTTGTATTGCATTCTGAGGAAAAGAAAAATAAAAATCATAAGCTAGAAAATACATTAATTCACAGCTACTAGAAATAAGCACCTATCAAAGCACTTAGGATGAACTTTCCATTGATAGGAAACAGTCCAGATCGTCTTCAAAAAAATCCAAATTGCAAATAGAGAACACATTTTTCCTCATAAATCCAGGCACTGGATATGGGGTACTGTATTAGTTTATGAATTTTTTTCTACTGTGCAATTATGCTGTGTTAATAAAGTATCGCCATTCTATGCAAAGAAGTAGGGAACAACTCTTACTCTCTCCATGATCTTAGGCAACTGTTGGAAAATGAAAATCCACAGAGAATTTCATAATCTCTCTGCATTTTGCTTAAATAAAATGTGGCCCTGAACACAATAACTATAGCTTTAGTTATGTTGAGTCCCATAACTGTAAATTCAGTTATACTGATTCATTGCAATATTAAAATGTATTTTCCCTAGCACTGGGCAAGTTGATTTTTAAAAGCATGTGAAAAGATACTATTTTGTGACTCCCTGCTGTAGATCTCCGGTACTAAGGTAGTTCAGTCTCTTTTCCTTTCTATTTCCAAGAGGTATAGAAGGACTAGAAACAAGAGTATAAACTCACTGCAAGTGAAAAGAGGGCAGCAGGAGTCTTTAGGATTGACTTCAGTGACTTCATAGAAGCCTTCTCCTTCACAAGTGACCTTCTTTTGATCACATACATGAGGCTCACATACAATGCCATGTTCACCTTCCAGGCAAATACAGTCCTTACAGTCCACTGTAAACTTTTCTCCAAACTGCCATTGAAAAACAATAAAATGAGTGATTGCATAGTAACCAATTAAAAGGAACAAAAGTAAAACCAGGAATACAAAGTAAAGAGATGACAAAACAAGACTGTACCAGTGAAAACCACTCTCCTCTCCCCACCCAAACTTCTACTTGAAATCCAAAAGCATACAGCATCATACCTCTCTTGATACCATATCCACTCCAACACAGCCTGGAAAATACCAAAATAAATTTCCATTACCAGTCATATAACAGGAGGCATCTCTACTATACATTGTATGAGCACTGCACACAGTCAAATCTTTGTTGTATGCATGGAGGGAAACAAAGAGGAAACAATCATGCATCCAAGTGAAGCAGTAAAACTCACCACATGTTTTCACGCAGACATCCACACCAGAGTCATACAGCATGGTTCCATTAGGACAGAAACAGCCTTCCACTTGCTTAGTTGATGTCTCATTCTGTTCTCTATAAGACAGAATGTTCAGAGAAATGCCATTAATGTCATAGGTACATACAGGAGGATTATGCAAAATAACCTTTCACTGAAAATACAGTGGCAAATTATCTGCCCATTTGTGACTGGGGTTTGCAGAGTCAGTTTGATATAGCCAAACAACAGAAACAGAAACAGTTCAGGCACTCAGATTTAGGGTCAACAGAATAGTGCTAATAAATTTGACTGTCAGTTTAAGAAATGAGAGGAGGTTGATTTTGCTCATTCACCTGTGCATTAGATACAACTGAATAGTTGTACAAGCTATAACTAACTGTGAAGGAAGTTTTTACCTGGATTTGCAGGTCGTCTCTTTAATAGGACCACATGCTCTATATTCTTTACCTGAAGGACATTCATGAGCTGGAATGGAAGAACAAAAAGGAGGAACAGCTCAGTAACAATATTGTATAAAAGCCCCATGACCTTATGCCAAGAACTTAAACACTGTTTACTCATTTTTCTACTTATCTATAACAATCTTGAGAAGTAAAGAGGAAATGTCCCAGATAGACTTATTTCTCTAAATGGAATAATTTTGTGCAATTTAGCCATAGATATAATACTGTACTTTACACTAAGGTGATAAAGCCAGGAGTCTCCATCTTGACTATAATTTTTTGCATAGTTTTAGTCTCTTTCGCACAACTTCTCAAAAGGGAGTGTCATCCTTCCCTTTGTGCTCTTACTACAGATGAAAGCTAATGTACATGTCACCAAATAGAGAGTGATCTGCTGATGCCTGCAAAGCATAGAGCTGCCTGCATACAAAAAAAGTATGTACTGATACAGATGTTTCTGGCACAGTCACTGCATGTATATTTTTGCAGGCCAATTTATCATTTCCTTTGTTAAAAATGTTACTGGAAAATTACTTAAGGTGAGCAGGTGCTGTGATTTATTGGTGTTTTCATTACTCTGAAAGCAGTATGACATTTTGTGGAACTGTTTCAGCAGTAATCTTCCTTAATAATTCAAGATGAATTTTTATGTCCAGATACTTACAGCATACACCATTGGTGTGTTTTCTCCAGTCAATGCACGCGCCTTGATCAGCACAGGTGGCAGCATAGATCTGCAGGCTTGAGCATTCCAGGTCTAGGTTGGGAAGTACACAGCTATCAAAAACGCAGGCTGCATAGTACTTCTCAGGCTGGACAAATGCATGGCATGGCTTGAACACACTAGAAACAGAAATATTTATCATTATTCCTTATTGAATGATTCATATCTATTTCAATGTGCTTAACATGCTATCATGTAGCAACAGTGGACACGGGAGATTAGGGAGATGTGGATGTGGACTATTGATGAGAGATTTGTGCTAAGAGCACTTATCCAGATAGCAACCTTCCAACATACCTTAAAATATTCTTCCCTCACCTATAAAACACTTTGACACCAACATTTTGAGTCCAGGAGTTGGGTGCAATCATGTGCTATCTCTTTAAAGCAATTTTGATTTTTTTTCTTATTAATTTCTGACATGGTGTTCTAAAAATTAAGATTTCTATTTTCAGTTGGACTCTGTTTTCTGCTAAGTAAACGTGGGAAAAGGTAAGAACATGGGACAGGGTAGGGCAGAGAGTGTAAAAGAATATGGGAACATCAACAAAGGTTAATATGGCAGCCAGAGGGTTGAAAGAAACTGCCAGCAAAAAATAATAGCCAGAAAAAGTAAAAGGAGTAGAAGCAAATCATAAAGATACAAGAAGTGGAGAAACAGCTAGAGACACTTTCCACTGGTAAGCTAATCCTAAAATTTCCATTTAAATCAAAGACCAAAGGCTTGTAAAACTGAGAGGATTGTTACCTTCCCAAAATAAGCTCGCAGATGGACGATTCTTTGCAAGGCTGTGTTGGTGTTGTGCTAGGTGAACCTGTAGGAACTAGGCCTGGAGAGCACTGTGGTTTGGAAGGATCAACAACTTGCCAATGATCTGCCATGGTTTCACAGTTTTCTGCAATGTTTCCATTTGGCAGCATGCAGTCATCTGCCGTGTTGTTATTGCAAGTACCTAAGGGTGGTACGGGGAGAAAGAATTCACTCACAGATTTGCTAGGAAACACCATTCATCTTTGCATCAGGGCTGTCACTGTGGTTTTCTGAGAGTGCAAAATTTGGAAGAGTGAGCCTTACCACACTGTCCCTGGGTATTGTTGCCAAACAGGCTGTAGGGCATTCTGATAGAAAAGGACAAGCCATTGTAGGTCACATTCATTTTCAGCTCAGGAATTTCCACAACACTATTTATGCCTGACTCGTAGATGCTCACACCAAACTTCTTGTAAGGCAAAGCCACGAGCTGGTTGTTTACTGTCACCTAATAAATAAAGGAAAACAGAAAAGAGGCATAAATTTGGTTTGACTTTTCAAAACAATTGACTGTTCCTTTGTTTTGCAGAGAGAATGTAAAGGTAAATAATATCCTTTTAATTTGTAACAAATGTTCCTGTGTTTCCTTTGTTACTGGAAAGTCAAACTTTTCTTCTCTGAGCCACAAAAAGTCCATTAACCTCTGACAAATGAGGTTATTCAATGTTTAAACCAGATAAATCCTAACACTCAACAGACTTATTAGAGTGACTATGGCATCAAGAACTCCTCATGAAATTGGAATATAAAATTCTCCTAAATTCATATGGTATAAAGTTTTAGGTTTCTGGGCATAAAGGGAATGTGCTTATAGGAAAATTAAATAACAGAAATAAGACTAAACTGTATTATTTATTTTAATACAGTAGCCGTGATATACCTGTGAAACTAATACTACTACTTTCACTCAGCAGAGATTTCTTTGCTTTAGAGAAAAAAGAGGTCTAAATGTTGTAAATTTTCAACAATATGTTGCAACCTAACTTGTAATATTCTCACACAGTAATGTACAGAAATAAACCAAATAAACATTAAAAAGCTAAGAGCCCCAAACACTTCTCACTAATTTTGAAGCCCAAAAACCTTGGCATCACATTTATCAGTGAAATAAAAATATAAGTGTCCTACTCTGAAAAACTGAAAAGGTGACACAAGTCAAAGCTACTAATGGTACTTTTAAAAAATGCTTCAGGCCAGCACTTTATTGTTATGTCTACCTTACATTATTTCCTCCCCTTCCACGTTGTTTTCCTTTGTTACATTATTGTTAATCATAAATTAACTTATTTTATATCCTTAACTCTTAGTGATACAGACTTGCGTATTTAGGAGAGATCTGCAAAGATTTGAAATTAAAAAGACAGGAAGTTGTAGAATTTTTTCTCCCCAGATTCAGAATAAAAAATGCTTTGAAGTCCTCTGAAGCAGACCTCTTAATTTTATAATCTAAAGTGTTACTGAATCTAAAACACACATTATTTTTTTCCCAAACCTTATGAATATAATGATTCTGTTGATGCAGTATTAATATTTGAATCGAGAAATCAATAGTACCTCTACTTGTAGAGTATTTGGTTGTGCTGTTGTTAGCCTCACTTCCTGAGTCTCATGTCTCACAATGAGCGTTCGAGGACAGGACACTACATCCCGTACATCACAATGGTAGTTATCAATGTAGACACCAAAGTTATCAACTTTCTTATTGATCTCTTCCACAAGGACATATGTACAATTCCCTTGATAGCTGTAGTACAGTCCATCAAAAGTCATGTAATGTGGATCTCCCCAGCCAGTGCAGTAGCCTAAAAAAAACATAGTAAAGTTAGGCTCTTTTGGCAATGTACAAAATCATATCAGACTACAAGCAAAATCTGTAGATGTGGGAAACATCTCAGTGAACTTCGGGCATTTTAATTTTAATGAAGTGTATATGTCAATGCATGACCTCATTAGCTAGAAGTCATCAATAAAAACCAGTCACTTTCAATGCACAGTTCATGTGACATTAATGACAGACAACTGAGAATGGGATTAACTGTACCATACATATATCTTTACCAATAGTCTGAACAAGTAACAAATATATGTATGCTTCTAGCCTATAAATATCTGGATCTGAACATTTAAATCCTTCTTTGGAAGACCAATTTACTCTACTAACACAACAGTTAGGTAGAGATAATGGCAACTTAAGCCAATCACTCAATTAGCTAAAAAGAATCAACAGAGCATTCTAACCAACACTGGAAGACTGAGTCACAGCTTTGCACGATACTTGTTCCCTGATAAATATTGTTGCTCTTGACAATGTATTGTTTCCTCAGGAGATTAAATATTCAACAAAATATATACTTACAATCACACTCCCAATGCCAACAGCATCCATCCTCATCCATGACTGGCACAGGAGACAGTCCATTGGAACACGTGGGTTTCGGGGGTGGATTGCAGATTATTGGAATCACCTGGACAATGTTGTCTTCTATACATATAACCTTAGTGCAGTTACAGAGCATCCACGAGTCACCTTGCTGTGTTTGAAGAGAGGGGGAGCGGGAGAGAGAGATAAACCTTTAGGAAGCAGTGAGACTGACAATAGTTATGCCTGAATATCTTCTGCAGGTTTCTAAAAAAACATATGTTTATTCACAAGTTTTCCCCCATCAGAAATCTGAAAATAGGATTGAAGTGCATCAGTCAGCACTATCTAGGTCTGCAATATGAGCTAGAACAATTGAGAGCTGCTAAATGGAAAGCATTACACACAAAAATCAAGCCAGTAAACCAAAATGAGAATCACTTTTTCTAGTTTCAGCTGTCTAAAAGTGAGATGTCTCACCTAATCTCCTAAGGTGTCTTCACCCTACACCCTCTCTAAAGAACAGTGAAAGACACTGATCAATATGAAGGGCCAATATATGATCAACTCCCTTCCATGAATGCCTAGAGCAGATTAACAGCTAAAACTACAATGAACACACACTGTTCAGGGAAAAATGTCCAAGGTAATTATGTCCATGCATTGTGATTGAGTTTTCTTCTATCTTCTACCAGTTTTGCAGACATGTATAATTTCCTGCAGATCTAGTGAGCAAGTTGGTAGGCATCTAAACTATGATGAGGCTTTAGATATGTACAAGACACAAACTTGTCTGTGTCAAAGGTGGAGGGTTCAAAAAAAAAACCAAAACAAAACAAAAAAAACTCTGAGTCAAATTTCACAACCAGTGAATGCAGTGATCTGTTTCACAGTCCTCCCCTGAAGCCAGTCTGTGAACAAGTATGACTCATTCCAAATTCAGCCCTGTGGATTTTTGTTGGGCTGCAATGTAAACACAAAAACAACTTTTACCCACTCTGGACTTATTCAAAAGCAGAAATAGAGAAGATAGCTTAGGAGCACAAAGCTCTTGGTTTCCTCTTCATCAGAACCATCCTACAACAAAGACAAACACTGAACTGTGATCTAACTCCTTGCAGAAAGCTTTTTAAAAATTATCCTTGAAGAGCTAATTGTAATATGTAAGCTATTAATCCAAATATTGTTGGAAGTCCTGCTGATGCCCAAGAAAATCAAAGAAATAGAACAGACTGACACTTCCTTTCCTATCCAGATTAATGCTTACTCTTTACATTACTAATATTGAAGTTATGTGTCTAGTCTCCATCCAAAAAAAAATGAAAGTATGAAATCTACTCACCTCATAAGTTTCATTAGGGAAAATAGTACAAGTTTTTTTGGGAGTGGTTGGTGTTAGACCTGTAGTTGACCCATTAACTGGAGGAGTTGCACTGTGTGTAGAACTTCCTGTAGTGGTGACTGCAGTTGATGTTGCAGTAGGCCCAGATGTAGTAGTTGAGACAGGCGGCAGGGTTTTGAAGGTTGTGGAGATGGTGGTTGTAGCATTGATTGTGATAGAACTACTAGAGGTGGTTCCTGAAGTGGTGGTAAAGCTTTCTGTTGGAGTAGTACCAGCGGTAGTGGTTGACACTGGGCTGGTTGATGTAGGTGATGTTGGAGTCGTAACAGTTGCAGAGGTTGTGGTTGGAGTACTTATTTCTGTTCCTACTGTGGTGGTAGGGGGAGTGGACACTGAGGGTGTGGGGCCTGAAGTGGTGGTCTTGGTGGTTGATCCTGTTCCAGTGAATGGGGTTGTCGATACTGGTGGCTGTGTTGCTGTAGGGCTGCTTGGTCCCGAGGTTGTGGTGGTGCCAGGGCTGGAAGTGGTGGTAGATAATCCTGTTGGAGGGCTTGAGGTCCTGGTGGTAGTGGTCTCATGGATAGGAGTTTCTGTTACTGGTGTGGTGCTGGTGGATCTTGAGGGTGTGGGGCCTGAAGTGGTGGTCTTGGTGGTTGATCCTGTTCCAGTGAATGGGGTTGTCGATACTGGTGGCTGTGTTGCTGTAGGGCTGCTTGGTCCCGAGGTTGTGGTGGTGCCAGGGCTGGAAGTGGTGGTAGATAATCCTGTTGGAGGGCTTGAGGTCCTGGTGGTAGTGGTCTCATGGATAGGAGTTTCTGTTACTGGTGTGGTGCTGGTGGATCTTGAGGGTGTGGGGCCTGAAGTGGTGGTCTTGGTGGTTGATCCTGTTCCAGTGAATGGGGTTGTCGATATTGGTGGCTGTGTTGCTGTAGGGCTGCTTGGTCCCGAGGTTGTGGTGGTGCCAGGGCTGGAAGTGGTGGTAGATAATCCTGTTGGAGGGCTTGAGGTCCTGGTGGTAGTGGTCTCATGGATAGGAGTTTCTGTTACTGGTGTGGTGCTGGTGGAACTTGAGGGTGTGGGGCCTGAAGTAGTGGTCTTGGTGGTTGATCCTGTTCCAGTGACTTCGGATGTGGTAGCTGTCACTGGGCTTGTTGACACTGGTGATGTTGACTGTTGACTAGTGGTGCTTGCAATAGACACGGTACTTATTTCTGTCGTTCTTGTTGTTGGCAGTGGGGTAACTGAAGGAGTAACTGGAATGCTTGTTGTTGTCGGCGTCTCTGGTTCAGGTGTCTCTTTAAGATAGGAAGAAAACAGAGTATTTTAAGTCGCGAAATTGCATTTTCTTCCTAATGTCATCTCATTTTCCACGAAGCATACATAATTCATCAAGCCTAAGCATAGTCTTTAGATAGAAATTAAGCAGAAATTTTTTTATTAATGATTTCGCATCACTGAGGGATTATTAACAAAATATCCTGCCTCTTGCATAGGAGACATTGATATAAACACTTTATCAACAATCAGTGTCAGAGAGAACATCTTCCGCAGTGTTAAAACTTTATATTGCATGGAAGAGTCCAGCAGTCCAAGATCCCAGGGGACTCCACTGATCAATGAACTCTGGTTAAAATTGTATTGCTGTCATACTATATTCTATGGAAAGACCGTTATTCTCTATGTTGCTTCATGAGGCACATTCATATCACTGTTAATAATGGTCAGAGTAATTTGACTCTACAGAAACTGAGCCGTTGGTGGAGTAGTCTGTGTTCCATTTCTAATGCCAATGCCTTTAAGACTACTCACAGACAAGCTATTTTGGGATGCTACAAACCCAAAATACACTTTTCTCCTTTTTCACATGGCCAGTTTTCATTATGGTTGTTAATGGAAACTCCTTTAAAGTAGTTTTTGATTAGGATGTTAAAAAGTGTTCATGACTCTCACAGACCAGTCTCAGAGCCATCTATTTGTGCTTTCATAACATAAGTGACACATGGTAGAGAGAGAAGCACTGTGTACACAATAAGAGTGCAGTAATAATGCTAGAGGAATTAAGATACATTGGTTCTGCCCAGGCAGCCCACAAGGACAGTCCTTCAATGAAAACTGATTTACATATGGGTGAGAACAGGCAAACTCCTTCATGCCCTTTAACAGAGGCAGATGAACTGGGACAGCAGGGGATATAACATTGCTGCTGAAAGGTTAGCTGGGATGTTTTTGAAATATAATCAACTACATTAGTGCAGAGTTTAGAAACTAAAACACATGTTAAGCTGCCAATAAACCCTGTTTTCTAAAATCAGCAACGAACACGAAACCCTGGGAATTACTTATTGCTTCAGTGGGTGGACCCGACGGGGTTTCAGTGGGTGGACCCGACGGGGTTCTGGTGTAAATACTTTCATGAGTTGTGGTGGTAGTTGGAACAGTGGTTGTGGTGCTTGGAGGGCTGGTGGTGGTGGTGAGAGTCTCCGGTGTCGAGGGAGAGCTTGTCGATTTTGGCGTGCTCAGTGTGGATGGAGGTGTGCCTGTTAGAAACAGCAGGGACAGAGAAAACAGACAAATGCACAAAGGCATCAGTGGGAGTCAATGTCAATTCAACAGAAGCTGCACATGAGGCAGCAGCCACAGAGCTAGAGAGGTCAGACAACCCTAGCGCCAGTTCTTCCTTTCTGGCCCCCAAAAGCACAATATTTGAAATCCATGCACACACAGCGTAAGGTCCCTTCCCTCTTAGCAAAGACATGGTGCTGGAAGGTGCTTCTTAAAGGGACCAACCAATAGGTAAGAGATGAGGAGGTGCAATGCTTTTGATCTTGCTGGGGCTTTCTATCTCCATGTCATTATCTGGAACACCACACTAAATCCTCAGGTAAGAGCTGAGATGAGAAACTGTGATCAGGGAAGGAAGCATGCCCAGCAGTATGTTCCTGCCTGATTGGCATGTGGTTTTCTCAATGTCACCCTGATAAGTGGCTCCCCAGAATACTAGTGGATCTGATCAGCCAAAGACCACAGTTCTCAGAAAGTCACAGTCTGCAGAATTAAACTCTTTCCAAAAGCATATCCATCCTTCCTACATCTATAACAGCTGTCAAGCATTAGCACTGACAGAGCAAAGGAACGGGAGAGTGGGAAGAAGTCCTACAGAGTTATGTCAAATCAGTGCCTAAAATGTCAGTACTGAAAAACCAAAGCCATGCCACAATTGCACATATGTCCAATGAGTATGTTCTGGCCAGCTGAGGGATGAGGTCCAGCAGCAAAAAAAATGCAAGATTTCCCGTCAGTTCAAGACCTGTGTAAGCTGAGCATCAGTATGAAACACCTCCTCTGAGCCTTTTTGAGTGAGGGAAGACCAGATCTTTTGCCCAGAACCACAAAACCTTGTTCCTTCTTCAATAGTCAGATGAAAAACAAGTTTTAAGCAACAGCTCTTCCAGGGATGCTCTGCAGTTACACCCATCTGAGATCCACATGAGACGCACAATTTGAGGTGCTCATGTACCTTCAGGGCAACCACAGGAAGGGATCAAGCAACAGCACAGACCAGAGAAGTACCTGGAGTTGGTGTGGTGGTGGTGTATGTTGGTGTTGGTGAGGATGTGCTTGAAGTAGTTGAGGTGGGTGTTGTTGATCCAGTAGCAGTGGTTGTTGTGCTCAGAGCGCTGGTGGCGGAGGTGGGAGTCTCTGGTGGCAGAGTCGTCGTTGATTTTGGTGTGCTCGTTGTGGATGAAGGTGGGACTGTTAGAAAAAGCAGGGACAGAGAAAACAAAGGCACGAAGGCATTAATGGGACTCAATGTGAACTCAAGAGTAGCTGCACATGAGGCAGCTGGCAGAGAGCTAGAGAGGTCAGCTTAGTAGAGCAATGATTCCTCATACAAGCCCTGGCTTTCTGGCTGTAGAAAGCAGAATATTTGAAATCAATGCACAGAAAGTATCATGACTCTCCTCTCCTAGCAGAGACTGGGCATAGTGCTAGAAGGTGATTCTCACAAAATCAGAGAGATCTGCCAATAGATAGGAGATGAGGAGAAGTAACTCTGTGGGTCTGGCTAGGACTTTCTATCTCTGCCTCATTACCTGAACATCTCACTAACTCATGAGGTAAGAGCTGAGATGGGAATCTATGATCAGGGAAGGAAGTCTATACAGCAGTATGTTCCTGCCTGATTGGCATGTGATTTTCTCAATGTCACCCTGATAAGTGGTTTCTCAGAGTACTAGTGGATCTGATCAGCCAAAGATGCAGTTCAAAGTAACAGTCTGCAGAATAAAACTGTCCTGAAAGGATGGCAGAGGAATCCTTTTTCCTACATCTATAACCACTGAAATGTTTTTGCACTAACAGGGCAAAGGAATAGAAGAGAGGGAAGAATGTCTACACCATTATGTACAAATAGTGCCTAAAATGCCAGTGCCAAAAAAAACAAAGCCATGCAGTGACTAAATTCTGGCCAGCTGAAGGACAAGGTCCAGAAGCAAAAAAGGCAAGATTTCCCATCAGTTCAGCATCCATGTAAGCTAGGCAGCAGCACGAAATTTTCAATAGTACGCTCTCTGTCAGGGAAGCCAAGACATTTTCTCCAGAATGACAAAACCTTTTTCCTTCCTAAACAGTCAGATGAAGGGCAAGTTTTAAGCAACGGCTGTTCCTGTGTTGCCCTGAAGTTACACTCATCCCGGTGTAATTTTGAGGTGCTCATGTAACTTCAGGGCAACAGGACAGGAGCAACCAACAGCACAGTACAGAGAAGTACCTGGAGTTGGTGTGGTGGTGGTGTATGTTGGTGTTGGTGAGGATGTGATTGAAGTAGTTGAGGTGGGCTTTGTTGATCCAGTAGTAGTGGTTGTTGTTGTCGGGGTGCTGATGGTGGTGGTGAGAGTCTCTGGCGGCGTAGGAGTGGTTGTCGATTGTGGTGTGCTTGGTGTGGGTGGAGATGGGGCTGTTAGAAAGAACAGGGACAGAGAAAACAGACAAAGGTACAGAGGCATGAGTGGGACTCAATGTGAATTGAGCAGAAGCTGTGCATGAGGCAGCAGCCACAGAACTAGAGAGGTCAGCCCACCCTTGGCACAATAATGGTCCCCAGAACCAGCCCTTCCTTTCTGGCCATAGAAAGGAAGAATCCTTGACATCCATGCACAGAGAGGGTCATAGCCCTCCTTTCCTAGTGAAGAGATTAGAGATGGTACTGGAAGGTCCTTCTCACAAAATCAGACAGACCAATCAATAGGTAAGAGATGAGGAGGAGTAATGCTTTGTATCCGACTGGGGCTTTCTATCCCTGCCTCATTATCTGAACACCTTGCTAAATCCTGGTGTACGAGCTGAAAGGGGAAGCTGTAATCAGGGCTGGAAGCATGCACATGATTGGCATGTGATTTCTTCTGTGTTCCAATGTCAGTCTGATGCAGGGTTTCCCTGGGCATTTAGTGGATCTCATCAGAGATAGCATCATCCAAAAAATTACAGTTCATAACAAGAGGCAGTCTGCAAAGTTCCCAAAAAGACTGGCAGGAGAACCATTCCTTCTTATATGTTTAACAGCTGAAAACAACTAACACACAGTGGGCATAGGGGGAAGAGGAAAGGAGGAAAGTCTACACAACTGAACCCAAACACAGCCTGAAATGCACTTCCACAAGACCAAGTCCCGCTCCAATTGCATTCCACAGATCCAGTGACTACATTCTGGCCAGCTGAAAGACATGGTCCAACAGCTGCAAAAGCAATGTTACCCATTGGTTCAGCATCTGTCTCAGCTGGGCACCAACATGAAATACCATCTTGAAGCACTGTTGAGTCAGGAAAGACAAGACTTTCCCCCAAGAACCCCTAAATCCTTGTTCCTTATGAAATAGCCAACCCAAGGGCAAGATTTGACCACAGGACTTTTCCCAGGACTCTCAGAAGTTACACCCATCCCTGATCCCATCTAGAGCCACATATGGAGGTGCTTCATGGACTTTCACTACTCCCACAGCAAGGCCAGACATGACAACAGAACCAGAGAATTTTTTGTTAATTTTGTTCCTGGGGGAAGAGGGGTTTTGGTGAGAATTATTGGTTTTGGGAACATACTTTGAGGAGTTGAGATGGTTGTTGTTGATCCAGGACCAGTGGTTGTGGTTGGAGGGCTGGTGGTGGTGGTGGGAGTCTCCGTCGGCGAGGTAGTGGTTGTTGATTTTGGCGTGCTCAGTGTGGATGTGCTTTCTGTGCCTGTTAGGAACAGCAGGGACAGAGAAAACAGACAATGGCACAAAGGCGTGAGTGAGACTCAACAGGAGCTGAATGGAAGCTGCACATGAGGCAGCTGCCAGAGACCTAGAGAGGTCAGCCCACCCTTAGCACAGCAAAGGTGCCTAGTACCAGCCCTTCTTTTCTTAGCCCAGAAAGAAAACTCATTGACATCCATGTAAAGAGATAGTCATGGCCCTCCTTTCCCAGTGAAGAGACTGGGGATGGTGCTGGAAGGTGCTTCTCACAAAATTAGAGAGACCTACCAGTAGTTAAGAGATGAGGAGGAGTAATGCTCTGGATCTGCCTGGGGCTTTCTATCTCCGCCTCATTACCTAAATACCTCACTAACTCATAGAGTAAAAACTCAGGGGAATCTGTGCTCCAGAAATGGATCATGCAGCAGAACACATTTAGTCATGTGATTTTCCCAACGTCACCCTGATAAAGGACATCACAGAATACTAGTGGATCTGATTAGCCAAGGAGAAGTGAGGGAAAAAGTTTATATACAGTTGAGCCTAAAACAGTGCCTAAATGCCAGTGCCAAGAACAAAATTTACTGTCCAACTGCACATCATGGGTTCCATCACTATATTCTGCCCAGCTGAAGGACATGGTCCAGCAGCTGCAAAAGCAACATTTTCCATCAGCTCAGCATGTGTCTTAGCTGGGCAGGAAAACGAAATACCTCCTCAGGGCACTGTTGCATCAAGAAAGACAAGAACTTCTTCCTGGGAGCCTGCATCCTCATCACTTTTGAAAGAGCCCAAATTAACTTTGGGCACATCTCATTGCCTGTAATGCCCAAAAGAGAAAGAGCTGAGATGGGAAGCTGTGGTCAGGGAAGGAACTATGCACAGGAATATGTTCCTGGCTAATTGGCATGTGGTTTTCTGCTGACAGGAGTTCCCAGAGTACTAGTGGATTTGGTCGGGCAAAGACCACAGTTCACAGAAAGTCACAATCTGCAGAGTGAAACTATTTCCAAAAGCATGGCAGAAGAATGCTTCCTTCCTCCATCTATAATAGCTGAGAAGCATTAGTATTGACATGGGAAAGGAGCAGGAGAGAAGGAATACAGACCACAGATCGGTGCCTAAAGAGAGCTTGAAATGCAAGTGTTACAAAATCAAGCCCCACTCCATCACACTCCATGTGTCCCGGGATGCCACTCTGGCCAGCTGAAAGACAAAGTCCAACAGCAGCAAAAGCTACTAAGTTCTTGTTCCATCTGAAACAGACTGAAGGGCGAGCTTTGGGCAAAGGCTGTTTCAGGGGCTGCCCAGAAGTCAATTCATTCATAATACCACACAGAGGCAAAAAAGTAGGTGTTCAAAGACACTCAGCAGTCTCAAAGGTAAAGAACATATGACACTACAAAACTTAAAAGCACCTGGAGTTGATAAGGAGGTGGTGTATGTTGGTGATGGTGAAGATGTGCTTGAAGTAGTTGAGGTGGGCGTTGGTGATCCAATAAGAGAGGTTGTTGTTGCCGGGGTGCTGGTGCTGGGGGTGGTGGTGCTGCTGGAAGTCTCCGGGGACGTGGAGGGCAATTCTGCTGTAGGGGATGCTGTGCTTGGTGTGGATGGAGTTGTGCCTGTTAGAAAGAGCAGGCACAGAGAAAACAGACAAAGACACAAAGGCATCAGTGGGACTCCATGTGAACTCAACAGAAGCTGCACATCAGGCAGCAGCCACAGACATAGACAAGGCAGGGCACCCTTAGAACAACAAAGGTCTCCAGAGCTACCCCTCCCTTTCTGGCCATAAACAGCAGAATCCTTGACATCCATGCCCACACAAGATGGGTCACAGCCCTCTTTGCCTAGCTAGGAGACTGGGGATAGTGCTGGACGGCACGTCTCACAAAATCAGAGAGATCTACTAATAGGGAAGAGAGGAGGAAGAGTAATGCTTTTCATCTGCTGGGGACTTTCTATCTCTACCTCATTACCTGAACACCTCACTAACTCATGGAGTAAGAGCTGAGATGGAAATCTGTGGTCACGGAAGGATGTTTGCACAGTAACAAGAGGATCAAGATCTCTACAGGAAAGGAGGACATAGAGCCCTGTATTCTTACTCCTTCTGAAACAACCAGCCCAAGGACCACCTTTGGGCAAAGGCCATTTCAGGGGATACACAACAATTAGTTCAATCTCAGATCCCAGAGAGAGACACAAATGGAGAGGCTGACAGACGTCCAGCTCCCCACAGCAAGGAAACACATGAGAACACAGATCAGAGAAGTACCTGGACTTGGTGAGGTGGTGGTGGTGGTGTAGGTTGGTGTGGGCGTGGATGTGCTTGAAGTAGTTGAAACGGGTGTTGTTGAGACAGGAGCAGTTCTTGTTGTCTCTGAGGTGCTGCCACTAGTGGTGGTGCTGCTGGGGGGCACCCTGGTGGTGGTGGTGGTGGTGGTGGTAGGGCTGCGAGTCTCCAGTGATGTTGATGTTGGAGCAGTGGTTGATATTGGAGGGGACACACTGCTCGTTGTGGTGGAAGCTGTGGAAGTTGTGGTGCTCGTGGTGCTTGGAGTTGGAAGACACTCTGGTTTGTTGGGGGTGCAGCAGACACTGATCTCATAGTTGAGGCACACTGGCATCGGTATTATACCTCCTATCTGCTGATCTTTATTGTTACAAATGAGCCCTACGTTAACATTACATTCCACTTTCTGCCCTAAATCTGCAATGGAAGTGCTAGGGAATTTCTCTGCTCGGCATGAAATATTCTCAACTTTTGCACACTCCCAGGAGGGGTATTTCTTCCAAATGTTCTCAAAGGTTTCGTAGTCACCACTATTCCTGTCAGAACCATCTGGATAAGTCACATCGATCCAGTCTGTCCAGATGCACTCACACGCTGAGGAGACAACAAGACAGACAGTCAGAAACAGACAGGAGAGAGACAAAAATGCAGGGCACCAGCTCACACACAGGTGGTGCTCTGGGCATCCCCTGCACTCAGCGGTGCCCCTCAGGCTGCTACTGCACTCAGCCAACACTGGCCATAAGAAAGCTCAGTGGTCTGGCCAGGCCTCTCCTTTCTGGCCCTAAAAACCACTCCTGGCCCAAATCAGGACACAGGCACTCATGAGTTATGTGTGTGTGCCCCAGATGTGGGGCACACTGCTTTGTATGGACTCTCGTCTGCAAAAACACACACACCTAAGGCCCATACAGGAGGCAGAGTGTGGGACTAAGCAGAGACTCCTGCCACTCTCTCAGCTTCTTGGGCCATGCACACCACCTCAATATCTCATGGAGAAACCAACCACTGCGAAAGCATCTGACGAACAACAGGGAAAGAGGGAAAGCAGGCACAGGACACACGCTGCTGACAAAGCCTCATCTGCTTCCCAGTGCTTTCCAGCACCTCTCAGCAGCACACAGATTGCTGGAGACAAGCACCAACAGGAACGCTGGTAGAATCCAGCTGCCCAGAGCCTGGGTCTGTCAAAAGTGGCAATCTGAGCTCTGAAACCAATCCCCAAACTCTGCCAGCTAAAGCCGTGGAAGCACCCTACAGCCCAAACAGCTGGAAAGTCGCAGCAATGGCCACAGAAACAAAACAGCAGAGAAAGGGAAGTAGGTCTGCACAGCTGTGCCCAAACAGAGCCTGAAATGCCACTGCCACAAACTTTAGCTCCACTCCAACTGCACACCTTGGGTCCAGTGACTACATTCTGGACAGCTGAAGGACAAGGTCCAATGGCAGCAAAAGCAACATTCCCATCACTTCAGTATCTGTCTAATCTGGGCACAAGTATGAAATATCTCCTTGGAGCACTGTTGAGGCAGGGAAGACAAGACCTTCTCCCAAGGTTCCCTAAATCCTTGTTCCTTTCAAACAGTCAGAACAAGGGCCAGATTTAGCCACAGGCTGCCCAGAAATTACACCCATCCCTGATCCCTTCCAGAGCCACATATGGAGGTACTCATGGATCTTCCCTAATCCCATAGCAATGCCAGAAACAACAACAGAGCCAGAGAATTATTTGTTGGTACTGTAGTTGGAGGCACAGGGCTTTTGGCGGGAATTTTTTTGGTTTTGGAACATACGTGCAGGAGTTCGGATGGTTGGTGTTGTTGTTGTTGTCGTCGGTGCTCTGCTGGTGGTGGTGGTGCTGGTGCTGGTGGTGGTGCTGCTGAGAGTCTCCGGTGACGTGGAAGTGGTTGTCCATTCCCATATGGTTGTAGGTGTGCTTGAAGTAGTTGAGAAGGTTGTTGATGAGCCAGTGACAGTTGTTGTTGTTGTCTTGCCGGTGCTGATGCTGGTGGTGCTGCTGGGGGGCATCGTGGTGCTGGAAGTAATGTTGGGAGTTTCAGATGCTGTTGGAGTGGGGGTACTTGGCGGTTCTGGTGGGCTCGGTGTCTTCGTAGGTGGGGCTGTTAGAAACAGCAGAGACGGAGAAAAGAGACAAAGGCACAAAGGCATCAGTGGGACTCAACAGAAACTCAACAGAAGCTGCACATGAGGTAGCGGGCACAGAGCTAGAAGGTCAGCCCACCCTTAGCACAACAAAGGTCCCCAGAACCAGCGCTTCCTTTCAGGCCATAGAAAGCAGAATCCTTGACAACCATGCACAGAGAGCATCATGGCCCTCCTTTACTAGTGAAGAGATTAGAGATGGTGCTGGAAGGTGCTTCTCACAAAATCAGAAAGACCCACCAATAGGTGAGGAGGAGCAATGCTTTCAAACTTGCTGGAGCTTTCTATCTCTGCCTCATTACTGGAACACCTCACTAATTCATGGAATAGGAGATAAGAGGGGAAGCTGGGAAGGAAAGCATGCCCAGGAGTATATTTGTGCCTGATTGGCAAGTGATTTCCCCTGTATTTCAATGACGGCCTGATGCAGGGCTTCCTAGGGCATTTAGTGGATCTCACCAGGTGAGGTGATAGCCAAAGACCAAAAGCTCACGGCAAGAGGCAGTATGCTGAGTGAAACTGCTCCCTCAAAGGCTGGCAGGAAAATCATTCCTTCTTATATGTTTAACAGCTGAAAACAACTAACACTGAGAAGGCGTAGGAGGAGGAGAAATGGCTGAGCCCAAACACAGCCTGAAATGCACTTCCACAAGACCAAGTCCCGCTCCAATTGCATTCCACAGATCCAGTGACTACATTCTGGCCAGCTGAAAGACATGGTCCAACAGCTGCAAAAGCAATGTTACCCATTGGTTCAGCATCTGTCTCAGCTGGGCACCAACATGAAATACCATCTTGAAGCACTGTTGAGTCAGGAAAGACAAGACTTTCCCCCAGGAACCCCTAAATCCTTGTTCCTTATGAAACAGCCAGCCCAAGCGCAAGATTTGACCACAGGACTTTTCCCAGGACTCTCAGAAGTTACACCCATCCCTGATCCCATCTAGAGCCACATATGGAGGTGCTTCATGGACTTTCACTACTCCCACAGCAAGGCCAGACATGACAACAGAACCAGAGAATTTTTTGTTAATTTTGTTCCTGGGGGAAGAGGGGTTTTGGTGAGAATTATTGGTTTTGGGAACATACTTTGAGGAGTTGAGATGGTTGTTGTTGATCCAGGACCAGTGGTTGTGGTTGGAGGGCTGGTGGTGGTGGTGGGAGTCTCCGTCGGCGAGGTAGTGGTTGTTGATTTTGGCGTGCTCAGTGTGGATGTGCTTTCTGTGCCTGTTAGGAACAGCAGGGACAGAGAAAACAGACAATGGCACAAAGGCGTGAGTGGGACCCAATGTGAACTCAACAGAAGCTGTGCATGAGGCAGTTGTGCTGGGGGAGGTTTAAGTTGAATGTCAGGGCAAATTTCTCCAGAGAACAAATGTTTAGACACTGCAATGGACTGCCCAAGGAGGAGGCAGAGCCACAGTGTCCGTTGGCTTTTAAGAAAAAAGTGGATGTGGCATTTAGTGCCATCGTCTAGGTGACATTGTGGTGTTCAGGCAAAGGTTGGACATGATGATCTCAGAGATCTTTTCCAACCTAACTGACTCTGTGAATATATTCCTGCCTGATCATCATGTGATATCCCTGTGGTGCTATGAAGGCCTGATGAATGACTTCCCTGGGCACTAGTGAATCTCATCAAAGGCCACAGTCCACAGCAAGGGGCAGTCTGCAGAGAGAAACTGTTCCCAAAACTCTGGCAGGGGAATCCTTCCTTCCAACATCTCTTACAACTGACAACTGTTAGCACTGACAGAACAAAGAAGAAAGTAAAAGGGAAAAAACTTGGCACAGCTGTGCCCAAACAGAGCCTGATATGCCACAGCCACTAGATGAAGCCCTACTCCAACCGAACTCCATGGATCCAGTGATTCCACTCTGGTTAGCAGAAGGATGGCGCAAAAACAGCAAGAGCACCATTTCTCATCAGTTTAACATCGCACTAAGCTCTTTCACCAGAGTGAAAAAACACCTTAGAGCCATGTTGAGTCAGGGAAGCCAAGACAATCTTCTAATGACCCCTGAATTCTTGTTCCTTATGAAACACTGAGCCCAAACCCCCAGGTTTGGAACAGACCATTTCCTGGAATACCTGGGAGTTATACCCATCCATGATCCCATAAAGGGACAGAAAGAGGTGCTTACGAACCATCATTACTCCAACAGCAGGGGAACATGTGAGAGCACAAAATGCAGAAGTACCTGGAATTGATGTGGTGGTGGTGTATGTTGGTGTGGGCGTGGATGTGCTTGGAGTAGTTGAGGTGGGTGTTGGTGATCCAGTAACAGTTGAGGGCCTCGGGGTGCTGATGCTGGTGGTGCTGCTGGGGGGCATCGTGGTACTGGCCGTGGTGGTGAGAGTCTCCGGTGTCGAGGGAGAGGTTGTCGATTGTGGTGTGCTTGGTGTAGATGGAGGTGTGCCTGTTAGAAACAGCAGGGACAGAGAAAACAGACAAAGACACAAAGGCATCAGTGGGACTCAATGTGAACTCAACAGAAGCTGCACATCAACCACAGACAGCAGCCACAGACATAGACACGTCAGCCCACCCTTAGAAAAACAGAGAACCCCAGAACCAGCCCTCTGGTTTTGGCCCCAGAAAGCTGAATCCTTGACGTCCATCCAGGTCCTCCTCCCCTAGCTAGGAGACTGGGAATGCTGCTGGAAGATGCTTCTTACAATGTAAGAATGCACTACCCATAGGTAAGAAATGAGGAGCAGTAATGCTTTCAAACTTGCTGGAGCTTTCTAGCTCTGCCTCATTACCTGAACAGCTCACTAAACACTGGAGCAAGACCTGAGATGGGAACGTGTGGTAAGGGAAGGAAGCATGCACAGGAATATCTTGCTGCCCGTTTGTCATGTGATTTCCCTGTGTCAGCCTGATAAAGGGCTCCCCAGTGTACTAGTGGATCTGATCAGCCAAAGACCACAGCTCACAGCAAAGGGTAGTATGCAGACTGAAATTGTTCCCAAAAGCCTGGCAGAAGAATCCTTCCTTCTTACACCTAGAGTAGCTGAACACCATTAACAGCAAAAAGGGTAAGGGAGGAGCAGAAAGGGGGGAAACTATACACAGCTGTTCCCAAATAGAGCCTGAAATGCAAGTGTCACAACACCAAGTCCCACTGCAATTGCACTCCATGTGCCTGGTGACTACATTCTGGCCAGCGGAAGGATTAGGACCAACAGGGGTAAAAACAAGGTTTCCATCACTTCAGAATCTGTACAAGATGAGGCACCAGGATGAAATATCACCTGGGAGCACTGTTGAGTCAGGGAAGTCAAAACCATCTGCCCAGGACCCCTAAATGATTGCTCCTTCCGAAGCAGCCAGAACAGAAGGCCGGCTTTGGGCACATGACATTTCCTAGGATGTCCAGAAGTTACACCCATCCCCAATGCTATCCAGAGTCACAAATGGAGGGTATCTCAGACCTTCAGTACTCCCAGTACAAGGTCAGAAATAACAGAACAACCAGATAATTATTTGTTGGTTGTGCAGTTAGATGCAGAGGAATTTGGTGGGAATGACTACTGCTGGGAACATACTTCCAGGACTTGATGTGGTCATTGAAGATCCAGTAACCGTTGGTGTTCTTGTTGTGGTTGTGGTTGTGGTTGGAGGGCTGGTGGTGGTGGTGAGAGTCTCCGGTGTCGAGGGAGAGGTTGTCGATTGTGGTGTGCTTGGTGTAAATGGAGGTGTGCCTGTTAGAAACAGCAGGGACAGAGAAAACAGACAAAGACACAAAGGCATCAGTGGGACTCAATGTGAACTCAACAGAAGCTACACATCAACCACAGACAGCAGCCACAGACATAGACACGTCAGCACACCCTTAGAAAAACAGAGAACCCCAGAACCAGCCCTCTGGTTTTGGCCCCAGAAGGCTGAATCCTTGACGTCCATCCAGGTCCTCCTCCCCTAGCTAGGAGACTGGGAATGCTGCTGGAAGATGCTTCTTACAATGTAAGAATGCACTACCCATAGGTAAGAAATGAGGAGCAGTAATGCTTTCAAACTTGCTGGAGCTTTCTAGCTCTGCCTCATTACCTGAACAGCTCACTAAACACTGGAGCAAGACCTGAGATGGGAACGTGTGGTAAGGGAAGGAAGCATGCACAGGAATATCTTGCTGCCCGTTTGTCATGTGATTTCCCTGTGTCAGCCTGATAAAGGGCTCCCCAGTGTACTAGTGGATCTGATCAGCCAAAGACCACAGCTCACAGCAAAGGGTAGTATGCAGACTGAAACTGTTCCCAAAAGCCTGGCAGAAGAATCCTTCCTTCTTACACCTAGAGTAGCTGAACACCATTAACAGCAAAAAGGGTAAGGGAGGAGCAGAAAGGGGGGAAACTATACACAGCTGTTCCCAAATAGAGCCTGAAATGCAAGTGTCACAACACCAAGTCCCACTGCAATTGCACTCCATGTGCCTGGTGACTACATTCTGGCCAGCGGAAGGATTAGGACCAACAGGGGTAAAAACAAGGTTTCCATCACTTCAGAATCTGTACAAGATGAGGCACCAGGATGAAATATCACCTGGGAGCACTGTTGAGTCAGGGAAGTCAAAACCATCTGCCCAGGACCCCTAAATGATTGCTCCTTCCGAAGCAGCCAGAACAAAAGGCCGGCTTTGGGCACATGACATTTCCTAGGATGTCCAGAAGTTACACCCATCCCCAATGCTATCCAGAGTCACAAATGGAGGGTATCTCAGACCTTCAGTACTCCCAGTACAAGGTCAGAAATAACAGAACAACCAGATAATTATTTGTTGGTTGTGCAGTTAGATGCAGAGGAATTTGGTGGGAATGACTACTGCTGGGAACATACTTCCAGGACTTGATGTGGTCATTGAAGATCCAGTAACCGTTGGTGTTCTTGTTGTGGTTGTGGTTGTGGTTGGAGGGCTGGTGGTGGTGGTGAGAGTCTCCGGTGTCGAGGGAGAGGTTGTCGATTGTGGTGTGCTTGGTGTAGATGGAGGTGTGCCTGTTAGAAACAGCAGGGACAGAGAAAACAGACAAAGACACAAAGGCATCAGTGGGACTCAATGTGAACTCAACAGAAGCTACACATCAACCACAGACAGCAGCCACAGACATAGACACGTCAGCACACCCTTAGAAAAACAGAGAACCCCAGAACCAGCCCTCTGGTTTTGGCCCCAGAAGGCTGAATCCTTGACGTCCATCCAGGTCCTCCTCTCCTCGCTAGCAGACTGGGAATGCTGCTGGAAGATGCTTCTTACAATGTAAGAATGCACTACCCATAGGTAAGAAATGAGGAGCAGTAATGCTTTCAAACTTGCTGGAGCTTTCTAGCTCTGCCTCATTACCTGAACAGCTCACTAAACACTGGAGCAAGACCTGAGATGGGAACGTGTGGTAAGGGAAGGAAGCATGCACAGGAATATCTTGCTGCCCGTTTGTCATGTGATTTCCCAGTGTCAGCCTGGTAAAGGGCTCCCCAGTGTACTAGTGGATCTGATCAGCCAAAGACCACAGCTCACAGCAAAGGGTAGTATGCAGACTGAAACTGTTCCCAAAAGCCTGGCAGAAGAATCCTTCCTTCTTACACTAGAGTAGCTGAACACCATTAACAGCAAAAGGGTAAGGGAGGAGCAGAAAGGGGGGAAACTATACACAGCTGTGCCCAAATAGAGCCTGAAATGCAAGTGTCACAACACCAAGTCCCACTGCAATTGCACTCCATGTGCCTGGTGACTACATTCTGGCCAGCGGAAGGATTAGGACCAACAGGGGTAAAAACAAGGTTTCCATCACTTCAGACTCTGTACAAGATGAGGCACCAGGATGAAATATCACCTGGGAGCACTGTTGAGTCAGGGAAGTCAAAACCATCTGCCCAGGACCCCTAAATGATTGCTCCTTCCGAAGCAGCCAGAACAAAAGGCCGGCTTTGGGCACATGACATTTCCTAGGATGTCCAGAAGTTACACCCATCCCCAATGCTATCCAGAGTCACAAATGGAGGGTATCTCAGACCTTCAGTACTCCCAGTACAAGGTCAGAAATAACAGAACAACCAGATAATTATTTGTTGGTTGTGCAGTTAGATGCAGAGGAATTTGGTGGGAATGACTACTGCTGGGAACATACTTCCAGGACTTGATGTGGTCATTGAAGATCCAGTAACCGTTGGTGTTCTTGTTGTGGTTGTGGTTGTGGTTGGAGGGCTGGTGGTGGTGGTGAGAGTCTCCGGTGTCGAGGGAGAGGTTGTCGATTGTGGTGTGCTTGGTGTAGATGGAGGTGTGCCTGTTAGAAACAGCAGGGACAGAGAAAACAGACAAAGACACAAAGGCATCAGTGGGACTCAATGTGAACTCAACAGAAGCTACACATCAACCACAGACAGCAGCCACAGACATAGACACGTCAGCACACCCTTAGAAAAACAGAGAACCCCAGAACCAGCCCTCTGGTTTTGGCCCCAGAAGGCTGAATCCTTGACGTCCATCCAGGTCCTCCTCTCCTCGCTAGCAGACTGGGAATGCTGCTGGAAGATGCTTCTTACAATGTAAGAATGCACTACCCATAGGTAAGAAATGAGGAGCAGTAATGCTTTCAAACTTGCTGGAGCTTTCTAGCTCTGCCTCATTACCTGAACAGCTCACTAAACACTGGAGCAAGACCTGAGATGGGAACGTGTGGTAAGGGAAGGAAGCATGCACAGGAATATCTTGCTGCCCGTTTGTCATGTGATTTCCCAGTGTCAGCCTGGTAAAGGGCTCCCCAGTGTACTAGTGGATCTGATCAGCCAAAGACCACAGCTCACAGCAAAGGGTAGTATGCAGACTGAAACTGTTCCCAAAAGCCTGGCAGAAGAATCCTTCCTTCTTACGCCTAGAGTAGCTGAACACCATTAACAGCAAAAGGGTAAGGGAGGAGCAGAAAGGGGGGAAACTATACACAGCTGTGCCCAAATAGAGCCTGAAATGCAAGTGTCACAACACCAAGTCCCACTGCAATTGCACTCCATGGGTCCAGTGACTACATTCTGGCCAGCAGAAGGATTAGGACCAACAGGGGTAAAAACAAGGTTTCCATCACTTCAGAATCTGTACAAGATGAGGCACCAGGATGAAATATCACCTGGGAGCACTGTTGAGTCAGGGAAGTCAAAACCGTCTGCCCAGGACCCCTAAATTATTGTTCCTTCTGAGGCAGCCAGAACAAAAGGCCGGCTTTGGGCACATGACATTTCCTAGGATGTCCAGAAGTTACACCCATCCCCAATGCTATCCAGAGTCACAAATGGAGGGTATCTCAGACCTTCAGTACTCCCAGTACAAGGTCAGAAATAACAGAACAACCAGATAATTATTTGTTGGTTGTGCAGTTAGATGCAGAGGAATTTGGTGGGAATGACTACTGCTGGGAACATACTTCCAGGACTTGATGTGGTCATTGAAGATCCAGTAACCGTTGGTGTTCTTGTTGTGGCTGTGGTTGTGGTTGGAGGGCTGGTGGTGGTGGTGAGAGTCTCCGGTGTCGAGGGAGAGGTTGTCGATTGTGGTGTGCTTGGTGTAGATGGAGGTGTGCCTGTTAGAAACAGCAGGGACAGAGAAAACAGACAAAGACACAAAGGCATCAGTGGGACTCAATGTGAACTCAACAGAAGCTGCACATCAACCACAGACAGCAGCCACAGACATAGACACGTCAGCCCACCCTTAGAAAAACAGAGAACCCCAGAACCAGCCCTCTGGTTTTGGCCCCAGAAAGCTGAATCCTTGACGTCCATCCAGGTCCTCCTCCCCTAGCTAGGAGACTGGGAATGCTGCTGGAAGATGCTTCTTACAATGTAAGAATGCACTACCCATAGGTAAGAAATGAGGAGCAGTAATGCTTTCAAACTTGCTGGAGCTTTCTAGCTCTGCCTCATTACCTGAACAGCTCACTAAACACTGGAGCAAGACCTGAGATGGGAACGTGTGGTAAGGGAAGGAAGCATGCACAGGAATATCTTGCTGCCCGTTTGTCATGTGATTTCCCAGTGTCAGCCTGATAAAGGGCGCCCTAGTGTACTAGTGGATCTGATCAGCCAAAGACCACAGCTCACAGCAAAGGGTAGTATGCAGACTGAAACTGTTCCCAAAAGCCTGGCAGAAGAATCCTTCCTTCTTACACCTAGAGTAGCTGAACACCATTAACAGCAAAAGGGTAACAGAGGAGCAGAAAGGGGGGAAACTATACACAGCTGTGCCCAAATAGAGCCTGAAATGCAAGTGTCACAACACCAAGTCCCACTGCAATTGCACTCCATGTGCCTGGTGACTACGTTCTGGCCAGCGGAAGGATTAGGACCAACAGGGGTAAAAACAAGGTTTCCATCACTTCAGAATCTGTACAAGATGAGGCACCAGGATGAAATATCACCTGGGAGCACTGTTGAGTCAGGGAAGTCAAAACCATCTGCCCAGGACCCCTAAATGATTGCTCCTTCCGAAGCAGCCAGAACAAAAGGCCGGCTTTGGGCACATGACATTTCCTAGGATGTCCAGAAGTTACACCCATCCCCAATGCTATCCAGAGTCACAAATGGAGGGTATCTCAGACCTTCAGTACTCCCAGTACAAGGTCAGAAATAACAGAACAACCAGATAATTATTTGTTGGTTGTGCAGTTAGATGCAGAGGAATTTGGTGGGAATGACTACTGCTGGGAACATACTTCCAGGACTTGATGTGGTCATTGAAGATCCAGTAACCGTTGGTGTTCTTGTTGTGGTTGTGGTTGTGGTTGGAGGGCTGGTGGTGGTGGTGAGAGTCTCCGGTGTCGAGGGAGAGGTTGTCGATTGTGGTGTGCTTGGTGTAAATGGAGGTGTGCCTGTTAGAAACAGCAGGGACAGAGAAAACAGACAAAGACACAAAGGCATCAGTGGGACTCAATGTGAACTCAACAGAAGCTACACATCAACCACAGACAGCAGCCACAGACATAGACACGTCAGCACACCCTTAGAAAAACAGAGAACCCCAGAACCAGCCCTCTGGTTTTGGCCCCAGAAAGCTGAATCCTTGACGTCCATCCAGGTCCTCCTCTCCTCGCTAGCAGACTGGGAATGCTGCTGGAAGATGCTTCTTACAATGTAAGAATGCACTACCCATAGGTAAGAAATGAGGAGCAGTAATGCTTTCAAACTTGCTGGAGCTTTCTAGCTCTGCCTCATTACCTGAACAGCTCACTAAACACTGGAGCAAGACCTGAGATGGGAACGTGTGGTAAGGGAAGGAAGCATGCACAGGAATATCTTGCTGCCCGTTTGTCATGTGATTTCCCAGTGTCAGCCTGATAAAGGGCTCCCCAGTGTACTAGTGGATCTGATCAGCCAAAGACCACAGCTCACAGCAAAGGGTAGTATGCAGACTGAAACTGTTCCCAAAAGCCTGGCAGAAGAATCCTTCCTTCTTACGCCTAGAGTAGCTGAACACCATTAACAGCAAAAGGGTAAGGGAGGAGCAGAAAGGGGGGAAACTATACACAGCTGTGCCCAAATAGAGCCTGAAATGCAAGTGTCACAACACCAAGTCCCACTGCAATTGCACTCCATGTGCCTGGTGACTACATTCTGGCCAGCGGAAGGATTAGGACCAACAGGGGTAAAAACAACGTTTCCATCACTTCAGAATCTGTACAAGATGAGGCACCAGGATGAAATATCACCTGGGAGCACTGTTGAGTCAGGGAAGTCAAAACCATCTGCCCAGGACCCCTAAATGATTGCTCCTTCCGAAGCAGCCAGAACAAAAGGCCGGCTTTGGGCACATGACATTTCCTAGGATGTCCAGAAGTTACACCCATCCCCAATGCTATCCAGAGTCACAAATGGAGGGTATCTCAGACCTTCAGTACTCCCAGTACAAGGTCAGAAATAACAGAACAACCAGATAATTATTTGTTGGTTGTGCAGTTAGATGCAGAGGAATTTGGTGGGAATGACTACTGCTGGGAACATACTTCCAGGACTTGATGTGGTCATTGAAGATCCAGTAACCGTTGGTGTTCTTGTTGTGGTTGTGGTTTTGGTTGGAGGGCTGGTGGTAGTGGTGAGAGTCTCCGGTGTCGAGGGAGAGGTTGTCGATTGTGGTGTGCTTGGTGTGGATGGAGTTGTGCCTGTTAGAAACAGCAGGGACAGAGAAAACAGACAAAGACACAAAGGCATCAGTGGGACTCCATGTGAACTCAACAGAAGCTGCACATCAGGCAGCAGCCACAGACATAGACAAGGCAGAGCACCCTTAGAACAACAAAGGTCTCCAGAGCCACCCCTCCCTTTCTGGCCATAAACAGCAGAATCCTTGACCTCCATGCCCACACAAGATGGGTCACAGCCCTCTTTGCCTAGCTAGGAGACTGGGGATAGTGCTGGAAGGCACGTCTCACAAAATCAGAGAGATCTACTAATAGGGAAGAGTGGAGGAAGAGTAATGCTTTTCATCTGCTGGGGACTTTCTATCTCTACCTCATTACCTGAACACCTCACTAACTCATGGAGTAAGAGCTGAGATGGAAATCTGTGGTCACGGAAGGATGTTTGCACAGTAACAAGAGGATCAAGATCTCTACAGGAAAGGAGGACATAGGGCCCTGTATTCTTACTCCTTCTGAAACAACCAGCCCAAGGACCACCTTTGGGCAAAGGCCATTTCAGGGGATACACAACAATTAGTTCAATCTCAGATCCCAGAGAGAGACACAAATGGAGAGGCTGACAGACGTCCAGCTCCCCACAGCAAGGAAACACATGAGAACACAGATCAGAGAAGTACCTGGACTTGGTGAGGTGGTGGTGGTGGTGTAGGTTGGTGTGGGCGTGGATGTGCTTGAAGTAGTTGAAACGGGTGTTGTTGAGACAGGAGCAGTTCTTGTTGTCTCTGAGGTGCTGCCACTAGTGGTGGTGCTGCTGGGGGGCACCCTGGTGGTGGTGGTGGTGGTGGTGGTAGGGCTGCGAGTCTCCAGTGATGTTGATGTTGGAGCAGTGGTTGATATTGGAGGGGACACACTGCTCGTTGTGGTGGAAGCTGTGGAAGTTGTGGTGCTCGTGGTGCTTGGAGTTGGAAGACACTCTGGTTTGTTGGGGGTGCAGCAGACACTGATCTCATAGTTGAGGCACACTGGCATCGGTATTATACCTCCTATCTGCTGATCTTTATTGTTACAAATGAGCCCTACGTTAACATTACATTCCACTTTCTGCCCTAAATCTGCAATGGAAGTGCTAGGGAATTTCTCTGCTCGGCATGAAATATTCTCAACTTTTGCACACTCCCAGGAGGGGTATTTCTTCCAAATGTTCTCAAAGGTTTCGTAGTCACCACTATTCCTGTCAGAACCATCTGGATAAGTCACATCGATCCAGTCTGTCCAGATGCACTCACACGCTGAGGAGACAACAAGACAGACAGTCAGAAACAGACAGGAGAGAGACAAAAATGCAGGGCACCAGCTCACACACAGGTGGTGCTCTGGGCATCCCCTGCACTCAGCGGTGCCCCTCAGGCTGCTACTGCACTCAGCCAACACTGGCCATAAGAAAGCTCAGTGGTCTGGCCAGGCCTCTCCTTTCTGGCCCTAAAAACCACTCCTGGCCCAAATCAGGACACAGGCACTCATGAGTTATGTGTGTGTGCCCCAGATGTGGGGCACACTGCTTTGTATGGACTCTCGTCTGCAAAAACACACACACCTAAGGCCCATACAGGAGGCAGAGTGTGGGACTAAGCAGAGACTCCTGCCACTCTCAGCTTCTTGGGCCATGCACACCACCTCAATATCTCATGGAGAAACCAACCACTGTGAAAGCATCTGACGAACAACAGGGAAAGAGGGAAAGCAGGCACAGGACACACGCTGCTGACAAAGCCTCAGCTGCTTCCCAGTGCTTTCCAGCACCTCTCAGCAGCACACAGATTGCTGGAGACAAGCACCAACAGGAACGCTGGTAGAATCCAGCTGCCCAGAGCCTGGGTCTGTCAAAAGTGGCAATCTGAGCTCTGAAACCAATCCCCAAACTCTGCCAGCTAAAGCCGTGGAAGCACCCTACAGCCCAAACGGCTGGAAAGTCGCAGCAATGGCCACAGAAACAAAACAGCAGAGAAAGGGAAGTAGGTCTGCACAGCTGTGCCCAAACAGAGCCTGAAATGCCACTGCCACAAACTTTAGCTCCACTCCAACTGCACACCTTGGGTCCAGTGACTACATTCTGGACAGCTGAAGGACAAGGTCCAATGGCAGCAAAAGCAACATTCCCATCACTTCAGTATCTGTCTAATCTGGGCATAAGTATGAAATACCTCCTTGGAGCACTGTTGAGGCAGGGAAGACAAGACCTTCTCCCAAGGTCCCCTAAATCCTTGTTCCTTTCAAACAGTCAGAACAAGGGCCAGATTTAGCCACAGGCTGCCCAGAAATTACACCCATCCCTGATCCCTTCCAGAGCCACATATGGAGGTACTCATGGATCTTCCCTAATCCCATAGCAATGCCAGAAACAACAACAGAGCCAGAGAATTATTTGTTGGTACTGTAGTTGGAGGCACAGGGCTTTTGGCGGGAATTTTTTGGTTTTGGAACATACGTGCAGGAGTTTGGATGATTGGTGTAACAGTTGGTGTTGTTGTCGTTGGTGCTCTGCTGGTGGTGCTGCTGGTGCTGGTGCTGGTGCTGGTGCTGGTGGTGGTCGTGGTACTGCTGAGAGTCTCCGGTGACATGGAAGTGGTTGTCCATTCTGATGTAGGGGATGCTGTGCTTGGTGTGCCTGTTGGAAACAGCAGGGACGAAGAAAACAGACAAAGAGACAAAGGCATCAGTGGGACTCAATGTGAAATGAACAGAAGTTTTCCATGAGGCAGTTGCCACAGACCTAGAGGGGTCAGGCCGCTCTTAGCACAGCAAAGATCCCTAGCACCTGCCCTTCCTTTCTGGCCTCAAAGAGAATAATCCTTTACATCCCTGCACAGAAAGTGTGATGGCTCTCCTTTCCTAGCTAGGAGACTCGGGATGCTGCTGGAAGGTGCTTCTCACCAAATCACAGAGACCTACCAGTAGGTAAGCAATGAGGACGAGTAATGCCTTTTTATGTTGCTGGGACTTTCTATCCCTGCCTCACTACCTGAGCACCTTGCAAATCCTTGCAGTAAGAGCTGTGTGGTGAATTCATCGTCAGAGATGGTAGTGTGAAAAGGAGTAAGTTCCTCCCTGACTCTCATGAAATTTCCCTCTGGTGGAATCTCAGCCTGATGAAGGGCTTCCCAGAGTTCTAGCAGATGTCATCAGCAAAAGGCTACAGTTCACAGGAAGTGGCATTTTTGAGGGTAAAACTGTTTCCAAAAGTGTCCCAGTGTAATCCTTGCTTCTAAGATCTAGAACCATTTTCATCCACTTGTACTGACATGCCAAAGGAAGAGGAGAAAGGGAAGAAAGTCTGCCCAGCTGTTCCTAGAATGACAGTGTCACAGACTAAAGTCCCACTCCAATTGCCCTCCATGTGTGGGTCCAGTGACTACATTCTGGCCAGTTGAAGGACAAGGTCCAATAGCAGAAAAATCAAGAATTTCCATCAGTTCAGCATCTGTCTAAGCTGGGCACCAGCATTTTTAGTCAGGGAAGCCAAGACTTTCACCCTAGAACCCCTTAATCCTTGTTCTTCTTAAACAGCTGGCCGAAAGACCAGCTTTGAGCACAGGGCACAGGGCACTTGAGGGGATGAACAGTAATTCCTCCAATCTGCAATCCCATGGAGACACACTGAAGGAGGGGCCAAGGCACCTTCATTTCTCCAATAGCAAAGGAATGCATCAGAGAACAGTCCAGAGAAGTACCTGGAGTTGGTGTGGTGGTGGTGTATGTTGGTGTTGGTGAGGATGTGATTGAAGTAGTTGAGGTGGGCCTTGTTGATCCAGTAGTAGTGGTTGTTGTTGTCGGGGTGCTGATGGTGGTGGTGGGAGTCTCTGGCGGCGTAGGAGTGGTTGTCGATTGTGGTGTGCTCGGTGTGGGTGGAGATGGGGCTGTTAGAAAGAACAGGGACAGAGAAAACAGACAAAGGTACAGAGGCATGAGTGGGACTCAATGTGAATTGAGCAGAAGCTGTGCATGAGGCAGCAGCCACAGAGCTAGAGAGATCAGCTCACCCTTAGCACTGCAAAGGTCTCTGGCACCAGCCCTCCCTTTCTGGCCCCAGAAAGCAGAATCCTTGACATCCATGCACAGAGAGGGTCATAGCCCTCTTTTCCTAGCTAGGAGATTAGGCATACTGCTGGAAAGTGTTTCTCACAAAATCAGCAAGACCATGTCAGCCTTAAGAAGGAAGCCTGTGCAACCCCATCCAGATAATGCCTCTAGCAACAGGAGTTAGAAGCATTGCCTACTCTTTTCTCACAGAGCAAGTCCTTCTGGGAATATTGTCTCCAGCAAAAACTTAAAAGTCCAAACTCTCTTAAGTAAGACTTCCTTGCAGACCAATGTTTTCTATGATTGTGACCTGCCTTTAGTAACCAACAGCCCTATATTTCTCCAAAGGCAAAGATCATGGAATATTTTTCGGTTAAATACCTGAAGCTGTTGAAGTTAATGGAGTGAGAACTGATGGTGTATACTCACATGTTGTGGAATGGATGTCTATGGGCGGGGTGGTAATTTCTGTTGAAGTCCTGGTTGTAGTGGTGCTGACTATTGTTGTCTGGGTGGTGGTTGAAGTTGAAGGTATAGTAGGTGTAGTTGTATGCTCACAAGGAATTTCTTGCCACTCACAACAGTTTACTCTGATTTCATAATTATAGCAAAGTGGCCACATAGTTACATCTTGCTCATCATTTTTACAGATTAGCCCATATTTAACATTGCACTCTACTTTCTGACCAAGTTCTTCTAAGCTCACATCAGGTTTATCCTTAGCCCTGCATTCAATTTCTTCAGGAGCTGTACATATTTTGTTTCCATGTTTTCTTATTTCATCATATGTTTCGTAGTCACCACCACCTTCTTCAGGTTTACTAACATCAAACCACTCTGTCCAATCACAGATTAGTTCTGTGACTACGCATGGAGCTGCAAGAAAAGACAGAGGTTTCAGATTTTACAGAGAACATCCTGAGAAGATCCATTTTTTATTTTCTTCCATTAAGGACTAGAGGAATGCATTGCAATATGTAATTGTTCCAAAGAAAAGAGTTCTAAAATTGGTTCTGTATTACGAGGTCTTTAAACTGGAAGTTTTGCATCAAAATAAAGTCACCAAGCTGCATCCTTTAAAAGTCCTTCTTCTCTATATACTAACAGCACTTTTGAAATTACAAAAAATAAAATATACATTTTTGTTTAAAATATATTTTTTTCTGTATTAATTGTCTTTAATTTACTCTTCCTTTAAATATTCCTTTGACATTTTTAACAACATTGTTTTGTATTTATAACTTACTTGTAGTGACTGGGCGGCTTGTAGTGGAAACTGAAATAGAACAAAAAGAGATTATAATTTCAAAAGAAATAGTATTTTTTTTTGTTGACACTCCTAACATTATTTCTACTATCCCATTAGGATATTGAAAAGCTAACATCGTTTTTCAAAAATAGGAAGCCATCCTATAATATATACTTAAAATTTCTTTCATGAGAAATAAATAAACTCAAAATGCTAAAAGTCTTTCATAGTGTGGTGTGATAAAACAATCCATAAATATTGCTCTATCTGTGTCAACTATAATCCTATACAATTGTACATTCTATATTTAAAATATTTTCCTTAAAGAAAACAATTTTTAGATCACATCTGTATTCATGATTTACCTGTGGTGGTGGTGGTAAGAGTACTGTGAGGGGAGGAGGTTGAAATGGTTGTAGGTGAAGATGTTGGACAGGGATAGACTTCACCAGGAACTACAGAGCCATTTTCTGCACAAATGTATCTTGTACATGTGTCACCATCCTGTACAACTCCCACAGTAGCACCCTCTTCATAACTCGTTCCATTGATGACACAAGGACATCCTGCAAGAAAGTTTTACTGTGCAATTTTTCTACTACCACGTAAGAGGCAGAGGCAAAATACTTATGGACAAGAGAGCATTTACATGAGTCATGCATATTTTTCAGCTCCTGTTCCTGGAGCTTAGATCTACTATATTGTGCTAATTTATCTTTACATTTAAAGCAATGTTAGAACATATTTAATCAAGTCCTGAATAAAATGTCTGATGTTACAGACTTAGAAAGTAGGTTTTAAAATGTTCTAAGAGAAATAATAATTGAAATTTACTATCTGACAGTTTCATATTAATAACTACATGTTCAGGAAGTGCTAACTTGTAGTGAAATCCATTAGTTTGGATATGGGATGTGGGGAGAAAGACTGAAAGGGCATGAGAAAAAGGCTTAACCAGAAAAATTAACAGCAAAGTTCAAAAAAAGTGCTGCCAAATTTTCTTTAGTCACAACTTTCACTAGCACTGGAAAGAATTATTCAGAATCAATACTAAGCCTTCCTATAGTCAGAGAGAGCAGTTCTGTGCATTTGCTTTTCTTTTTGTTTCCAGAAAAAGTCAAATGTTATTTACCTGGGACCGGTTTACACTCTATGGATCCTGATGGGACACAGATACTAAAAGAAAAATTTTCAAAAATTAAAATGTTGGTGATGTTTCATTGCACTTGTTAGCAGAATCAAGAGCACAGAAACATAGATATTTGTCACTTGATCTTCATTCACACTACTGCATATTTTTCTGGGTATATTTTCTAGTATTGCCTACCATTTTTCCTTCAAACTAAGTCACCGCTTTCAGTTCAATTGTGAGTTGCAATACTGCAATAACAACTGTTTTGCAGAGTGAACTTTCAGCTAGATCAGATTATTCTCTGGTCACCAAGTGGAGCCAGAGGTGTAAGTGCTTTCATTGCTAACACTCTAAGCATGAAGAGTTAGGACTCAACTATCTCTTTCAGGGCAAGAGTATTTCAGACTACAGTGATTTTGAAGTCCCAGTTTTAAGTGAGAATGCAAGGCAGAGTAGCCCCTCTTCCCAAAGAGTAGTGATAACTGAAAGGTTGTTTTAGAAGTTCATTGAGGTTTCATTATATAATTTATGACAGTTGACAGGTATAATTACTGAATTTGCTAGTACACTTATTATAATAACAATACCAACCTAAAATCTGTGTTGTTATGAGTTTGGAAAATCATGAAAAGCAAGAATATATCAGCTCTTCAGCTGAAGTTGCATCTCTATTTGTTTGAGGCCCAGTAAAGTAAATTAAGGACTCTGCACACACTAATTATTTCCTGAATTACCGCAAGTAATTTTTATATACCATGTTGTACAGTTTTCCTCTGTGGGTATTTCTTGCCAAGGGGGCACATAGGTTCCATCCTCGAGGTAACATCCACATTGATCTCCAGTCACACATTGCTTTGTGTCTTCATTGTAAATAGGCTTGTCCTTAGGGCATCTGGGGTAGCAACCTTTTGATGACAGGTAGAGCAGAATAAGGATGAAGAAAAAGTACAAAAAGTTACTTTTGTACCTTCTGAAAGTAAACTATTCTCACTGAATCAAGCATAGTGAAAGAAATCTAAAACTTCCCATTCAAATCAAGCTGTGAACAATTAGTCTTTCCAAAAGACTTCAACAGTTCTCATTGATAATACTGGTGTGAGGAGGATTAAGTAAGAAGTTTTTTTATGAAAACTAGTAAAGTTTCTTTTTCTTAGTTCAATACCTTGGAGAAACCCCTAATACATACTCATTTCTATGGGCAACTAGTAGTTTTAAGACAAAGAAATACCCCAACTTTTGTATAGACCACTATATAAATAATATTTTTGTGCGGAATATGGAAGCAGATTCACTAACAAACAGGTTTTCCACTACATTTCTTGGAACATTAGGCATTGTTTATATGCCTAGAATACACCAGGTGTCTCTACCTCAAACAGATAATTTATCTGTGGTTTTCTTTACCCATAGGCAGTGATCCAAACTTTACTGCAAGGAATTAATTGACTGTCAATTGTCATTCATTTTTTCATGTAAATACAGCTTAAAATATTATTCTGTTGTTATTACTATTATTATTATATTTCCTTCCTCCAAATAACCTCTTATTAAGTCCAATTATTAATGACAGAAAGTTCTCTTTTTACTGTACTGAAGTTCTAAATAGCCTTTAAACTGAAGCACCATGTAATTAGCTGGTAATTAAAAGTCACTTTACACTGCCAGACTGTACTTAAAATGTCCTAACAAAAAAATGTGTGCTCTAAATTTCTATTGAAATTAAGCAACAAAAATAATTCAGAAATACAATTGGATATATGATAATCTGCCTTCTGACACTTCCCAAATCTTATCTTCTAAGAAAATAAGATAATTTATTTTAAAATACAGAGGCTTGTTGGGTTTTTAAAAAATACTTTGGTTGGGGATTTTAGCTGATTTCTAGTAGGTTGTTTTGATGTGTTTTTTGGGGTTTTTTGGGGTTTTTTTTCTCTGTTTTACTTTTTTGGTTTTGTTCGGTTTGGTTTGTTCTGTTTCTCTTGAGTTTTCATTTGTTTGATTTTCTTCTTTCAATTTTTTTACTAGCAGTTCAAAGCAAAGTCAAATTCAAGGCATTTCTTGCCAATCCCTAAACTGGAGATAACTGCTTCCAGTACAGACCAAAAAGACTTTATGGCTAAAAATACAGCTTCTTTCTCCAGCTTCACCATGTAGTAAACCAGGAGATACTTGTAAAGTCTTTCACATTCTTGGATCATTAGAGTCCTTTTAATGTTAAATTCCTGTTCCATTATCAACCACAAGGACTGCCACCTACTAATATCTCATCTGCAAAGAAAACAGAATCTCGAGTATGAATCCAATATAAAGCAGCATCAGTGTGTCTGCTATAAAAGATATTTTCCAGTGTAAAGGTAGGTGAATGTTTCAGACTAATCTAGTAAAGGCAAGATGATCTGGTACATAAAAAATGGTAAGGTTAAAAATACCCAACTATCACTGACTTGCTTCTTTGTCATATTGAAGATTTTCCTGCTTGTAAAATACTTTTGCATGGGATTCAAAATAACCATGATAATAATGCATGTTTCAGGACATTATCCAAGCAGAGAACTAGTTTTGTGGCTGACAGCAATGTAACTACCACCCATTGATGTTAATAAACAATACATTACATTATAGGAAACATTTATGTAAGACTGGAGGCAAACTCAGCATAGCAGTTTTAGGAACATCTCATCAAGTTGACTAACTAATCCATAATTATTAAAAGATATCCGAACAAAGTTATACAAAACACAATATTAAGCGGCAAGGAATTTATTACCTTCCAGCAATGGTACTGTAAAGTTGGTGCTGACATTATTGATCATCCTGCAGGTTGTGATATTACTGCCACAAGGCTCATAGTGCCAGTCACACTCATTGCGAGGGTTGTAGTAGTCACAGAATATCGCTGATGAGAAAAGAGAGAAGCTGATTAAAAGCAAGCTTACCAGAATGCACTTCTGAGAAGGCCTTTTAAGGTACAAGCTATATCAATCTACTAATTAAGCTGGCCAAATTTCTCTTGAGGTAAACGACCTGGACTTTTTACTACTCTGCTTACACTTAGGATACATCAAAACACTGGTGCCCAAGACTGAAATTTTAAATATTCAGGCCATTGGGTAAAAATGCTTCAAATCATAAAGAAAATCTATTTTTAATTTTTTTTTTGTTTAAAATTAAAGGTATATTTCTGACAGTATTTTTCTTCCGTAGCTACTAGCAAACTCCTAAATATTTTTCAGTTTCATACAAAATAGTTCCAGCTTTATCACACAGGCTGAAAGTTCAAGAGGAAGCATATGAGCCACTATGGATACAACTTAAATTCAGCTTACACAACTAGAGACAGAGGAAGGAGTTTTTATTAACTTATATAGCAGAGCTGAATTAAACTTGCAATTTTTTTTTCACTGGCTTCTTACACTTAAAAGCTCCAATTAATCCAAATTTTTAATCTGAATGATTTTTTAAAATTAAAAAATTATATATTTCCACTACTTAGAATCTCAACATTTTGATTTGAGCGCTTTTTGGGTAGTATTAATTTAAATACTATTTTACATTAATTTATGATGTACTGGTATGAGTACTAGCACCACTCATGGACACCGCTGAATATACGTAACGCTGATTAGGTTCAGGGCTACAGCATGGGAGTGCTATATAAAATCAAATTCTGAGTAATTTGAACAACTGAAAGAGGAAAGAGAGAAGAGAAGAGAAGAGAAGAGAAGAGAAGAGAAGAGAAGAGAAGAGAAGAGAGAAGAGAAGAGCCAGGTTGAACAGAAAACAGTTGAAATATAAAAATTTACTAGCCTGTTTGTTCCCTGATATGCTGAGAAAAGGTTTCACCAAGTCACCAGCATTACCTTGCAGCAACAGTACTAATGATTTATTTGACTGGCTTTCTGACAGCAGCTAGAAAGATACAGTTGTGTTTATCTGTTACTCACGGCAGATATCGGGAGTTCTCCAGAAAACACACGCCTCAGCCTTGATGCACTCTTGGGCATATGCTGCAACTGCAGAGCAGAAGCACTCGCAGTCCCCACCGCTGTCACAGGAGCAGGCATCATGAACACAAGCCTCATAGTAAGGAAGTGGGTCCACCTGTCAGGGGAAGAAATGATGCTCCAGTTCATCTCCAAATTAGTTTTCAAACTAATATGTTTGAGAGCTCTTGATATGTGGGAATTGAGCTAGGAAGGAATGAGACTGTGCCTAAGAGTTACCAAATCACAAATACAGGCTTGAAGGTGCTCAATATGTTTTGGGGAATAATAGACTTAAAATAATATAGCTCCTTCGTAAGTTGCTATAACTGAAAAAACAAAGTAAGAGTCCTTGGCAGTGCTCACATTTTCTAATAGAGTTTCATTTTAGTGCTCCCAAAACCAAGCTGAATTGATGCCAGTGAAATCTTATCTTCCAGCAAGCTTTGCCAACCAAATGGTGAACAATGTCAGAAAGGCTGCATTCACAGCAAATATGAAGCATGCAATTTTGTGCCTAGCAGTTTTTGGAGTTTATCCAATGACACATTAAAAAAAGCTTTTTTTTTTTTTTTTTATTTGAGACTGCAAGAGGAAAAACTTAGACTGGATTTTTGCTGCTGAAGTAAACCACATGGAAATATATAGCAAATTAATTAAATTAATAACTGTTTGCATCTTTTCCACTGTGAGTTAAGAACAAATTGTTGTTAATATTACCATGCATCAGGAAAGAACTGAGAAATAAAAAGAAGTGCTCTCTGTGCACTGTAATCTGGAAGCTGTGGGCTGTCACAGTGTTTGCTGTGACAATTTGGAGGCACAGTACCAGCAGCTGTCTGTCTAAACTGTGTGATGTCAGTGGTGTCTAAAAAGATCCTTTTGTGCATTGAATACTACAAGAAGTAGTAGCCTCTTCAACAGCCACCTTTCATGTTTAGTACAAATTTCCATCAGGAGATGGATCTGATGATTGTAAGGTCCTTCAGTACTTGTAATTCTGACTGTCTCTCAACAAGAGATGGTGCAACTGCAGTGAACACAGGCCTGTTCAGGATACATTTTTGAAGCTAACTTGCAGAGCAGTAGCAGTGAAACTGTGGTGATGAAAATGGGTTTGTACAGCTGGGGCTGTCACCACTACTGACACAGTCCCATTGCCACAGAGACTAAGACTGCTTTGACTAAGGCCACATGAAAGTTCTGACACCTGTAGCTGTACTCAAGACTTAACTGAAGATCAATCTATTTAACCATCTCTTCATTCATTTCTGATGGTTTTGCATTACCAGAAATGCACTGTGCTGTCCCATCACCTACTGTCTTCTACAAACCTTGGAGTGACAAATTTTGAAGACTTCACTCTGGATGATGCTGCATTCTTTCTCTGCCCAAGACTTCCGGTGTGGTTTCAGATCACAGGGCTTAATCTCTTGTGTGACATCTGGGCACATGGGAGATTGTTTCCAGGAATTTCCAAAATTCAGAGGATTACTGTCCTGCAGTCCACTCCTTGTTGTAAAATCATTGTTTGCCTTGTCATCAAAGTTGCCACACAGACCACACACTTTACCCTGGAAAAGAAAATTGAGTTTTTAAATATACCATGGAAATGAGAAACAGGCTCCGGCAAAGTAAGAGAAAAACATTGACGTGAAAAATGACAAATAACTGTCTGTGTAAATGATGACTTTCTTCTTTACTGTCAAATCATTTGTGCAGAAAATAAATTTTTATTTGTCTGTCCTCAGCAAATTATTCAGCTGCCATGTCTTCCCTTCTTGAAATCATTTATATCTAGTATTATTTCCATATCACTGTCTCCATATCCAACTTAAAACATTAAAGAGTGCCCAAGCCTCTTACAGCTGAGAAGAATTATTTATTCTCCATTCTCTGCTCAAAGCTGTTTTTATTAAAAGTTTCTAACATGATGATCAGCATTTCTTCATTCATGGAAAAGAAATGACAGGGACCAATTTTTCTTGAAAGAAAATGTATCAATCTTCCCTCAATGGTGAATTTTTAGTAGTGTTATTTAAGGTCCACCAATCCCCTCAAGTAACAGTATGTCACTGTTTGTACAATGCCTTAATATTCTTCAATTCAGGATGCTGAATTTCAGGAACCAGAAGCATGGCCGTACATTGCATTGGGAGTTTGGTTTTAACACAGGGCTGAGATTGCACATAGGTTTCCAAGCACATGTGCAGTCAGTCCACATCCCCTAAATTATTCTGGATGATGGCTATTAATACTGAGAAACTCAGAAACACTGCCTGAGATGTTTATCTCTATTGGAATAACATCCTATGCATTCTGTGCAATGCATTGTGATATACTGCATTGTGATATACTGTAAGAAACCCCAGAAGCACTTCTGCAAGCTGTGACTGTAACAATGCAAGCTGACCATTAGTGCACAAAGGATATAGGAATTAGACATGGAGTCAGAATAAAAGAACATTTATGTTCTTTTATGCTTCCTTGTCTATTCACAATACTACTTCAGAAGAAGACAGACAAGCACTAACCTTGTAATCAGGGCTCAGCTTGATGAAAACAGTAGTCTTCTTGTCCCAGATCAGCATCACACCATTGCTAGCTTCAATAACCAGGTACAGGCCGACTGTCCTGTTCCAATACTGCACATCATCACCAACATCTCGCTGAATTTCTTTGTACTCTTTGTTCTCCAATTTCAGCTCGGTTTTCTGAAAGATAAAAGAGAAGTATTGTAACACTAATTTCTATGATGAGACAAAATATTAGACACTTGTAACAGTGCAACTCATTCTGCAACCAGTATCTCAGACTCTGGGATGACTTCCAAGATGGCAGAGAGTGGTGTAGCACTTCTGTTTGAGAGAGTTTTCATCACCTGAGAACCTACACCTTTACAGAATAATTTGATAGGGCCTCTAATGCTTGTTACAGCTGCTTTTAGGGGCTTGACTTTAGAGCATTACATTTTTGGTAATACTTGAGTACTGATATATACTGACTGTCATCACTCACCCCTAGGAACATTTTGATAGCCTTTGAGCAGGTGACTCCTGTAGTTCCACAAGGAACATTCTCTGTGATGATACTGAATGAGCCACTGGAATTTTTGTCACCGCAGAAGTCCTATTGAAAAAGAAAAAAAAGAACATGAGAAAATTAGGTAGAATATTTCATTGTAGTCCAATCTCATAAGAATTGCAATCATTTAAATCTTCACAGTGTATAAATAGTTACTGCTCCTTCAAATGTGAGATCCTACACACACATGTTTTTACAGATGCGTAGACATGCATACATATAAACAGTTAACACAGTCTCAGCCGGGGAAAAAGAGTGGGACAATGAAACAAAGTAAGGAATATATCTTTAAATAAAAGTTTCAAGTTTCTAAGCTTAGAATTTGGATTTATTTCACAAATTATAATTGGCTCTCACTGTAACATAGTTCTGTTCCATGTAATTTATTATATCTATATTTGAAAAAAAAGAAAAGCCACATTCACACAGCTTGCCTGCACTGAAAATACACAATTTATCCTGGCAGAATGTGTGAAACCCTTGGGAACAATGATGACAGGCAATAAGGAATGACAAAACCAAAGAGGAAAGTAGATTTTCAAGGCAATCAAATTCCTTTTCAGCCCTCCTGATGAGCATTACCTGAGTAGCCACATATTCACAGCTCCCATCAAAGTCATAGAATTTCCCATCAAATGTGTTATAATGGCCACTTCCATATATCATACAAGTCCCATAGCACACGTCCTCAGTGCATTTCCAAACCCCTTTCTGGCAGGTGCTAGAAGAGAGCAGAGAAGTTGAATTTTCAGATCTCACCAAGAGTGTGCTGTTTGAAGAACCGCAGAACAAACCAAGCAACTGCCTGATATAATGTGACAATATGCAAAATATCCAAGCCCCAGCTTCAACTGATAAGCCTGTTTTTAAGCCTATAACATGATTTTCACTCCGGTGAGCTACAATCTTTAGATTTGATAGCCTTTATTTTTAAAAAATGAGTGAATTTTCCCAACAAGAGATGCCTACTGAAAACAGAGGTAACCACCACCCCCACACTTCCAGCAGAATCTGTATTTTCTGAGATAGCAATAAGTATTCCTGAAAATTAAGGATGATACTTGCAGCTTTTGCAACTGCTGTAGCACATAAGCCTAGATATGACTATGAATATAGTGCATAGAATATATTCAAGAAGAGAATATTCACTTATAACTCACCAGGTGTTGCAGTCCACTTTTATCTTGCCTCCAGAATAATACCACTCATTGTTGTGAATGCATGGGCAATCTTCTTGCTCGACACATCCCCCTCTGCCATCATCAAACAGACCTTCAGGGCACACACAGCCTGAGACACACTCTGTCTGGAACTAAGGAATATAAGGAGAAATGGTTACCTTATGACAAAGCGCTGCATCCTAATTCCACTTCTTCACACTTTAAAATCTGCATTTAGAACTACACAGTCTAATATTGATTAGTTTTATAAGGGTTTTTTTTCTAGGTTTCTAATGTTTTTCTTTTCTTTTTGGACTGTGTAAGAACTCAAATTCTTTTTTGCTTGGAAATCATAACTCTAGTGAAGATACAGTAAAGAGAAGAGGGAAACCATTGTGAAAATGGCAACATATTATTATCATGGGGGGAGGGGGGGGGAAGTGTAGATTAAACCAAAGAGAAACAAACTGCTAGTTACAACTGTATTTGCTGTGTAGCACCATGTCATGTAAAGAATACAGAATAAAGAAAGCAAGACACAAAGAAAAGTTGAATACATACATGATCGGTTTGAGGAGTATGACAGCTAAGTTGCAGAGGTGTTTGGGAAGTCCACTTCGAGAATGCATTACAGTCAAAGTATGTCTTGTTAGAAGAACATTCTGTTTCACCTGGAAGATAAATTGTTGGTTTAGATCAATCAAGGCAAAAGAAATGCAGTGAAAAGTGGTAGCTCCTCAGACAGAAATCTCGGTCTATCCTTATGAAAAAAATAGACTTACTGAAGAGAGAACAAAGTGATAATGTGTTACTGTTTTACATAAAGGGGAAAAAAACATGCAAAACAAGTAAATAGAGAATTCAAAAAGGGAAGTAGGTTTGGGTTGGGAGGTTGGCTATAGATTTTATTCTAGTTTAGTTTATAGAATGTCACTTACTTCTCATTCTTAATTTCACTGAAGTGCACTGGATCTTTGCATTTCGGCAAACACTAGAAAAGTGAAGTAAGTAGAATTAAAAAAAAAAAAAAGCAAGCTCAATATCTTCAATTTAAGTCTAAGGACTGGTTTTTATAAATTTGAGAGTATTTATTAAAGATATCCTGCATAATTTCTCCTGGAATTTCAAGGCCAATTCTATTGAATTACAGTCATTAATTTTTTTGTTGGAGAAAAAGTGTAGCAAGATTTTAGGCATAATGCACAGAAATGTTATGTTTTAAGAAATGACAGCTATTCTATCAATCTATACTACTATGTTCTATGACAACTCAGGAATTAGATAGTAATGACACATAGGAATTATAATTTAAATGAAAGCTTCCATTTGGATACACAGTGTATTTTCATGACTATTCAATTTATGTGTTGCAAATTTGTTGACCTATATGCTTCTTCTGCTGGATGAAAGAAAGAATTTCACAGTTTGCACTGATGACTCAGGCAGCAAACTGTTGCCAGAGACCATGGGAAAATATAAAAGAACCATAAATGTTGTTTTCAAAAGCCTGTGTTACAGTGAATACATATCAAGGGACCTTCCTCCAGTGGAAAACAAGCAATCTGCGTCTGCTAGAAAAGCAAACATAACACATAGTTGGCCTTTTAGCTTCCTTTCACCATTCTGCCTAACAAAGCCTTATTAACACTGCAGCTTCAGAATAACATTTATCTGTGAAGGCCAATACTCAAACCTCCAAAGCAAGTTGCATTTCTCAATTATTGATAAATTGCATTGCAATTATCATTGCATTGAATAATGCTTTGCTCAGCATGAAGATGATGTGAAATGCATTATAAATACTCATTAGAGTATCAAAAAACCTAAGCACCTTACACCTAACAAGTTATTTTTAAAGGGCTTTTTCCCCACAAAAAAGAAGCCAAAATAAAACATACCAGCGTTCTCCATCTTTTGTGAAATACTCCCCAGGTTCCAGGTATGATCCCTTGTAATAACATGGGCACTGGGAGATGGGCACACAGTTATCCTGGTTATCCAAGTATGTATTGGATGGGCAGCCACAGCCATCCACAGGGGCAAAGTCTTGCAAGCAATACTTTTCACCATCAGCAAGGGAGCGACAGGTTTGCTGGCACATTGTAAGGTTGTAAAGGAAGACTTGATTTCCTGGGCAGGAAGATGCTTCACTGCCTGGAGGGGAAAAAACCAAACTGATAAGTAAGGGATGCAGGATGGAAAATTTGGCCTTGACATTTTCATTTTGCTTTCTTTGGCTGTGCCGAATGTAGTGATAAAAACATTCCCTTACATCATATTAAAGTATCAGAAAAATATCAGAAGTCACAAGTAACACTAACCTAACTTTACCAGTTGAAGACTTATTTTTAACTGCTACTAACAGTTTCTACTTTCATAGCCCTATCTGTTTCACATACTGATAATCAGATAGTGAGCACAATATAATAAACTGCTAGTCTCTAACATACTGAACTGTTGATGTAGAGCAAGCATGATCAGAAACAAAGACATTGATAAACAAATGCACAGTAAAAGCCCTGATGGCTGGGATTCCATTAGTAAATGGAAACCTATTAGCTAGACTGGGAAAAGAAGATGAAAGTTAAAAATATTGCTTTCTGCTTTTAAGTACAAAAATTGCAAATTACATCTGAAGAATATAATGTGAATTTGTAAACATTATCAGCATTGTCTCTTTTTGGTCCTTTAGATACTCCAAATCCCTTAACAGTGAGAGGGAGCACTAACAACCAAATTCAAGAGAGAGCCTGCTTATTTCTCATGGTTACTTATTTCCACAGGTATTACTGTTCCATTACTTACTGCAAACACTCTTTCTCCAGTCTCCCAGTATGATCCCTTTGAAAGCACAGGCTCTTGAGTAAGAGGACAGGGCAGCACACAAACATTCTTCATTGTCTTCACAGAGGCAGGTGTCATATTTACATTTCTGAAAAAAAAGAACAAAAGGGTCAATAAGTCCACAGGAAATCAATGGGCAATTGCAACTTGATTGCTACAAAATGTCCTGTCAGCTTTTCCTGATGTTGTTTGTATTAATTCCCATGACCAGAGAACAGTGAAAGGAATGGACAAAGACCAGAGAGTTAAAGTGCTGCTTCATTTAACACACAATGAAAATACTTGGATGCATATTCTAACCTAAGCCAAGTCTCTTGAACCTTTAAAAAGTAGTCAGCCTCCTAAGAACACATTTTTCAAAGGATATTGATACCATTCATTCTCAGTTACTAATTAGAAATTCAGAGAACCACAAAAACTACAATAATAAAGGCAAAATAATAACCAGGTCTACGAAGACCTTTACAACATTTGAGCTCACACTGACTTCCAAGTATAAGCAATGATTTTAGAATTCCTTTTCCTCAGTTGAGTCTCCATTACTGCTCAACAGAGATGAGCACAGGGGAAAAGAATTCATGGAGACTCTGGCATGAAAATGATTTGGTGTTACATTCCAACCAATACATGGTTGGAATTTCCCCCCCACTTTAGAGAAACTAATGTTTCTAAACTTAAACTGTGCACATCTGCAACTCTTGAGTCTTCTTTTCAGTCCAAATATCCAAGCCAATAAACATGTCACAAAAAGGAAAAAAGCAAAATAAAAAAATGTACATTTTTATTCAGCAGCAGCCCATAAGGATCTCATCACATGAGATACTTTGCATGCTATGTTGCTTGAATCAGACAATGAAAAAACTTCAGCATGTCTTATGGACAAGTTACTCACTGATGTCTCAAATGTTGAAACAATGATCAAGGTCTACAGTTAACCATCTGAAATAATGCAGTACTTAAAGAGTGCAAAATTACAATACCTTATAGTATTCTGTAGGATCAACGGCTATGTGACATCTTGCAAAAGGACCCTTTGGGTTTCTCAGCAAAGAGCACCAATGCTCAGCATAATTTGCTGCAAAAAAAAGAGAAATTAATCACATTTCCTTATCTTCCTTGTGTCATGCCTAGTTATGCTGATGCATAAATGCAGTGCAGAAATATGTATGAGAGAACTGTGTGCATTTTGGGGAGTGGAGAAACTACATGTAATCACCACACATATACTTCTAATCCTTCAGAGACATGCAATCATGAAATCAAAAACTGCACTGTAGTTTTGCAATTTGTACACATGGAATTGTGACAGCTCTTTCCATTTGGGAACCATAAATTTAAGTTAAACATAAAGATACATAATGCTAGGAGATACAAGCTGTCTTTTAAGATAGTACAAATTAATGACTGTTTGTCCCATTCTACCACCTCAGGATTCTTTTACAATCACCCCTTAAATTTTCACTTCAGTTTGATGAAGTGCTTGTAAGTATACATACTTGCAGATATTAATTATCAATGTTACAGTCCTGTAAAAAATCTTCAATGCCCCACTACAACTCCTACAGGCCTGTTGCAGTAATGCACAGCAGACACTGCTCATCCTGGCAGAAGCCAAGCCTCTGACTCATTAATGTGCTTACCACTTTCAATGCTGAGACTGCAGGGATCTTCCAGCTTTTCTACCTGGTCTGTGCAGGTGGACTGAGCTTTCCATGTGTTAGCAAAGGCAGATCCTGTAGCCTCAATCAGCCCACTGGTTGTTCTAAAGTCATCACCTTCCATTCCATTGAAGTTTCCACAAAGACCTATTTGAGAACAAGGTAAAAATTTCACATAAGTATTACTTAGTCTCATACTGAAAGGCCAAAGGAAAGGGACAAGTGATCACAAACACTATAAAAAGCTGATTATTCCACATCAATTTAATGCATAATATAAATACTCTGGTTTTAGATGCCCTGGTTTAAATCTTCCACATATTCAAGAATAGTAACCATGAAGATATCTGTGCTTCAAGAGATTACTACTCTAGCCCAAATTTTTTGTGCTTTCTGATGATATTGAAACCACAAAATACACTAAAAACCCGGTTTTGTGGATAGTTTACAAATAGACCAAATACAAAAGTAGGGAATATTCTAAGAAACACCTATGTACTGGCAATGATAGGTCATTTCAATATCAAAAAATAAAACCACATTTCTAGTTTGCTTGAGCCAGTTTTCTTTCTGTTTTCTCCCCTCAAATTAACAAGTAGCATGAGTTATCACTCCTATAAAGAATACATGATTATTCAGCTGTGAAACAGCATGACTTTGCTTCCCATTTGCATAGATACTTGCCTTGAAGTTTTCCTTTAACTGACTGATCCACAGTCACAAACAGCTGCATGACTCGAAACAGCTGGATCTGCATCTGAAGCCCAAATGGAGTTTGTACAACAAAGTAGTTGGAAGACGGCTTGAATACTGAGAAGCTGGCTGCAAAACAAAACATGAACTGTTGTAATGAACAAGTACACACAGGCTGCCAAAAGAAACACTTCTGATTAGATTCTCATGTGTCACCCAGCATGAAATCTCTGAGACCAGGATTGAATTAATATCTTTTTTCCTTTAAAAATCACTGGCCAACTAGATATGATGCTGGTGCTTAAAGACTTAACAAGTTGATTACTTATAAAGGCTGGTCTCTGGGATCAGAACCAAATGGGCATGCCCACACCATGTAACCAGGTTTGGAAAGTGCTAAATACCCCTCTTCCACTTTTGCCTCTATAAAAATACACCTCTCCATGAGAAGCCAGGTGTGTGACACTTGACATACAAGGCTGTGTCCCTTACTTGACACATGAGGCACATTCACTGTCATCTCGTTCAGGAGCACGCTGCCATCTGATCTGAAAACCACCACCTGTGTAACAGCAAATGGAATCAATGAGGTTCCAGAGACTGGTGAAAACTAAGATTTTACAAATACAAAGAAGATTAACAGCAAGGACATTCACATATTTAGGATCTGTCTAGATCTCCAAATTTTTGAAAAGAAAAATCTATCTGGAAATAGAACATGGCAGCAGCTCTATAGATTATGTGGTCTATATAGTCTCATAAACAAAGAGACCACTAAAGTGAATATTTGAGAAGGTTGGATTGTATCACCATTCAATGACAAGATTTCTTCTGAAAAAGACTCAATTAGAACTATAAAATTATATCTGAATGAAGAAAAAAAATTATGAGAATGGTGGAAAAGAATAGGTACCCTTCCTTCCAGACACCTGGAATTCTGTGAGAAAAATCATAATACACAGAGCAGAGAAAAGAAGAGGGGGAAATGTCAGTTGTTTTGAATCTCATATTTTTTTAAGTTCAGGTTTATTTTGAATTCTCGGGGCAGAAATCTGAGCTGTTTGTCAGCCTGTCTGAAGTTCCTTATCTATCCACAATTATGACTCCAGAAGAAAAAACTATTCACTCACTTTAAGGGAAATATGTTAATTTTCAACATATCTAGCAGAATCCACAGAACAGCACTTACATTCTTTTTGTTATCCACTAACAGGACAACAGTCTTCAAGCAGGTCTGTTTGTCTGTGGAGCCACAGGGAGCCAGTTCTGCCAGGAGAGCATAACTCTCATTTGCAGTACCCTACAATCACAGGGAAAGAAATGTCCATTAGTCATATTAAAAATCTCATGAAATGATTTCCACAACAAAGACTAAATTCATCAGTTACAACAACTTTCCTAGCTCAACAAGATTTTCCTCATTCTCTAGAAAAACTGACACCAGATATTTTAGGGATAAATGAAACAGCTGCCTACCTCTTTTCCCCACTTGACTTTGACACCCAGAAGTAGCTATTACAGAAGTGGCCAAGAAATTCTAATCCTGAGATCTTTCTATTTCATACATACAAAGGACTTCACTGGATAATGACAGCAAAGGCAGTCTTCTATCTCACTGAATTAATCACTCATTGCAATAAGTCCTCAGCTTCATCGTATGGCAATTAGAGCTAAATCCTGAATTTTCTAGTACAACTTCCAGCATTTTGGCTTCCCTCACCCAATGGAAGTGGACTAGAACAATAACTCCTAGCTGATACACACTAGCCTACAGACACTGTTTTACTCTACAAGAGAATAGCCCCACTGTACACAGTACCTTGGCCAACACATAGTAGCAGTCTCCATGGAAGGTGTATTTCTTCCCATCAAAGGTGGTAAAATGGGAACCTCCTTCCACTGAGCATGTGCCTGGGCAGGGTAGATCTTTGCAGGTCCATCTGCCTGAATTACAGGTGCTATAAACAGACAAATAATACAGAAAATACTTGTAGTTATTACAGAAGCTGAGAGCACTGAAATCTGTATATTTGGTAACCAGCAAGCTATCTCCAGGTGTTTTAAAACTGTATCCTTGACCTTTCCTTTGAGATTTTCCCTCTGACATATGCCATAGAAACTTACCAGAAATTCTGTTCTATAGACACGCAACATAAACATTAAATTCAGAGAGTTTTCAGAACATCTCCTATGACCATGTGGAAATTTGAAAAATACAGGCCCATTTACAATCATTCAAAGAAAGGTGTACAACCACCAGGATCCTTACCATTCTTCACATTCTTTGGAAATGCTTTCTCCAGGTGCATAACTCTTTCCACCAAGTTTGCAGTAGCACTGGCTAACAGGGATGCAGCCTTTTTCACTGATATCATCATACACAGTTCCTATAAAACACAACATTAACTATTCCAGCTCTTTTTCAAATAAGCAATTTCAACAGGGGAAAAACTCTAATTTGCCACACAGGCTGAGGTTATCTAAACTTTGAAGAATACTGGTTCTATTTTTTGCAATATAAGACAGATAGAAAACACTTTGATTCAGCTTTGAAAACTCAAGTCTGTTCATTTATATAGCTATACAGAGATAAAAAGGTTATTGCAAGCAAATAAGAAAAATCTGAGAATGACACATGTTTAGATTCTTAGTCTTTTTGGCTGTGAAGACTATCACTGTAATCTTTTCCTAAGGCTGAGAGCAAGCCTGAGAATTTCACTCACTGTCCATCACTGCCACTCTCAGGCAAATGGTGTCCATTGTCTCAGAATTATTCAACTTAAAAAGTGTGATTTACTATATAGTATCAAAAACCCACTTGTTGAGAATTAACAAGCAGGTCTATTACCTGTCACTGTGTTAATATGTTTGAACTATAAATTAATTAATTAATCAATCAATTGTTACCTCCTTAGAAAATTTTCAAGTTATTTTCCTCAAGGGGGGGAAATAATGAGTAGCACAACTCTTTTCCAAGATATAATTTGACTAAATGTAGTATTTTCATATGATTTCCTTAGCCAGGGCTCTTGATTTTGTCCCGAGTGCAACAGCTAGAGTGACACTTGCCTTCAGGGCAGAAACAGCCATCCATGTAGTGCTCCTCACAAAGGCTGCTGATCTGCAAGTGTGAGCAAGTATCCATGCAGGGTGAGCTGCTTTCTCTATAGACCATGGTAGCAGGACAGGTCTTGGCTGAAAAAATAAGAAAGACTCCATGAGTTATTTGAGTGTTATGTCCATCATTCCTGAGAAACCACATCCTACTCCCTTCAAGTCAGTGGTGTATCAAGCCACATTCTACATGGCAAAGCATGTTCATCTAAATCTGAACTGCTTTCCCTTGTTTTTATATTTACTTCTTTTGGTTTCAAATAGATCAAATTATTCCCATCTCCTGCAACATCAAATCTCAGGTTTTTTAATGGGAACAGAATTTGCTGAAAAATATTTCTTAGTAGTAAAAGTAACAGAAGAAGAAAACAAGGACACCATAATATTTTAGCACTACTGATATGAAATTTATATTACATCCCAACAGCTTTGTAAAGAAGTAATCAATTTAAATTTCATGGCACTACATGCATGAAACCTTTGGATCTTTGTAAAATTTGTGTCGCTGCTTACGGCAGAAGCTCTGTGTCCTCCATTCTCCCGGGCGGCCGCCTGCGTGCGAGCACTGGCGGGAATACTCGGAGATGGTGCTGCAGAGGCAGAAGGAGTCGTCCTTGCCATTGCAGGCACACTTGTCCTGCATGCACGCTTGGATGTACATCTCCAAATTAAGACGCAGCCGACAATCAGCAAATGCAGAGGAGGTCAGCAACTTCTGACACTCGTCACGCTGAGGAGGAAGAGGAACAATGTTGAAGAGATTTACAGATATCTGAGCTTCTGGACATTTCTTCTCTCACAAAAAAAAACTGTTGTCTTTTGAATAGCTAGGAAAAAGTAACCATATATTTTGGAAGGGACAGTCCTCCCAGCTCCTTGCAACTAACTCCCTGTTGCACAAGGATCTCTCCATGTGTCCATGTCAAGGAATTTCACCACAAGAAATACTTACATGCTCATTACAGCTTGGAAGAGCCTGAGTTTCATCTGGATCTTCACATTTGGAATTGGGTTTGCTGATCTTCTGCATATTCCCATATGTAATTGAATTGTAGCTTGCATCTATGAGAAAAAAATAGAAAGAGAATTTGCAGAGCCCCAAAAATTGACAACAAGGAGCACCTGATTTCTGGAACGCTACTGATCAAGGGAAACAAATATGCCTGTTAGACACAGGTACCTGCTCTGCATGATGTCTAACTGTGCTTAAAAATGTAAAGAGGAAACAGGAAAAGAAGGCTAGTAAAGAACAAAAAGATTAATCTGGAAGAGAATAAACTTAGAATGCAGGAATTCCAGGAATGCAGAATTGGAACTTCATGTTTAGTCTGGGGCAATCACAGAAACCTCTCAAGTGAAATTTGCTCTCCTGTGATGTTTCTATGCACAGGGCTTGTCAGCCTATCTCTGGGGACAACTGTCAGCATGGTGGGATAACGCACCTCCCTTGATGAACTCATTGTAGATTTGAATGCCATTGTAATCCCCACAGAGACCACAGGTATGGTTATTAAATTTGTTGTCCAGCTCCACCTAAATAACAAAAAGAAAAAGGAAAAACAGAAAAGAATTATCTTTTTCTTCTTCCTTTTTTTCCCCTCTTTTTTTTTTTTTCCTACTGAGATAGAGAAATATCCCAGGAAACCCAGGAAATACCAATTAAAAATACTTTGATCATACATACCATCAGGGCATCCTGCTGGTTCCACATCAGAACCATGCCTAATTTGGCATAAATCTTGGTGTAAATTTCATTGCTCTCAATGAGGACACCAGAGGAGTAGTAAGGTGTCTTCACACTAGGAAGAAAATCACAGGCTTTGCATTAGTTAGGAAACATAAGGGCTGACATGAATGTCAGTAATAAGCCAAATACCCCAAGGAATAGAGAAACTAGTCTGACTACCTCATTCTAACTGCACAGGGTGCCTTGTTTTAATGAGGCATAAAGTCTTCTCTTTCTGACACTCGGGACAATAACTCATAGCAAAAACTCATTTAAAAGTCAAAGCCATTTCAGAGGAAAAGCCTACCCAACACTTTGGGCTCTTTAACTTAAAAAATACCAAAACGTCAGACGCCTTCAAATTAATCAAAGAAAAACCATCATCATTGTGTTATTAACAGAGGATATTCAAACATTCACTAAAAATTTACATCAATGAAAGGAGCTACAACATAATTCACAGTGTTTCTTTGCCAAAATATCTCATAACCATTTCAGAGAGAATTAATGTTCCATTGCAAGAAACTGCCTCTTTTAGAAAGAGTTCAGAATGCACAGGCAGTTACAGGGACTGCCAACAAAATTTTCAAAAGAAAGGAACATGTTAAGAGGAATTCAGTAGCTCTTCTCTAGTTAGTTAGTTTTAACTGGACAGGACTAAGCTTGTTAATGGTGACAAAAGACACTTTGCAGAGGGCTAAGCATAGATATTTTTGTGTGATAACAATTTGTGTCTGTCTTACAAATAAACTGAACTGCTGAATTTCATTCAGCAATAAAATAATTGTGGCAGGCAGTCTTATCCTATAAAATCCAGAAAACTACAGTCTGCTCAAATAGAAGCAATGTAAACAGGAGTCCAGTCAGAATAACTGGTTATTTTTTCTACAAATTTATCAATGTAATTGTTATCCATCAAGATTCATGCATGTGTATGCACATCTCTTAACTAGTCTCTTTACTGGGAGAACTTTATCTCCTGATTTGCTGTCACTGGGGTTTTTACAGCTATTTAGCTCAGGCATTTTTTAACATGCCCAAATGACTTACACATTTAGATGCAAACTCAGAGATCATTATTTCTGCTTTTGACTGCATTGTTCATCAATAAACAATGAAGTCTTGAGGGATTATGTTTATTGAGGGGAAATATAAAATGTTGGACATCTTTTCAGCTTTTAGCTATCACAGCATGGAATATTTATCTTTTTTTTCTAATAGTAGGACATTCAATCAATCAGTGGATCAGGTAGCTGAAGGCTAATCCATACACTTTTCTACTTTACAGTTTTCACTTCAGCACAGTGAAATGCTATTTTGCCTGACAATAGGTAATTTATCATTTCAGAAGCAATATGGAAAATTAAGTTCTACCAAAAAAAAAATTCTCAGAGCAGCAAAACAGTTTGGCAGGGATCTGCTGTGTTATGACAATAAAATCTATCTAAGACAAAAATGGCTTCATTTAAGAGAAACAGTTTTAAAAGGACTTCTAACTTGTTTCTCATAGAGTTCTTTTTAAGACTTGAATGCACAATAAAGAGCTTTTTCAATTTGAGGCAATTTTGCATTTTTTTTGTAACTTTCTGTCATTTTATTATGCATTCTAGTATGATCTTTGGAAAACTGAATGTTACTTTCAATCGTTGAACATATTTTCATTGCAGTGCCTTCCAAACGTTAGAGCAAAAGCTGAATTTTGGGCAAAACTGAGTTCTCCAATGACAATTAAAAAGTTCTCTTTTTTTCAATTATGCTAAAACACACTAATTAACTCATGAGTTTCTTCACTTGATTCAGAGTATAAAGGCACACACTACAAGGATAAGCTAGTGATAGGAAAGACTAGGTTAAGACACTACTTAGCATCAGTAATGCGTCACACAAGTTTCTTGTGTAATCATGTTAAAAGAGGAGAAAAATAACACTGCTCAGTCTGAAAAAGTACATAGTGCCACAGATAAATTGCTGTGAATTTTGACCTGTGTTATATCTGTTAAATTCTCTAAAGGAATGGCCATCAGATCTTTAAGAATTATGTATGAAGATCAGAAAAAACTACCTCTCTTCTGTCAGAAAATAAGAGGAGAAATGCATTTCCTTTTTAAGGATTTGCTAGACCATCTGCTGAGGTAAACTCAAGATGATGCCATTAAACAAACGAAGCTATGTCATTTTAAGCCAGGGAAAAATCTGGCTCATGAGCTGCACTGTTTTCTGCACAACTGGAAGAACAATTTGCTCAAACCTATTCCTGACTTGTATTTAAATAATTCCTTATGCCAGTGTAGAAATGACAATTAGTACTAAAGCCCCTCCCCAAAGCAATTTTAATGCTGAATTTCAAAAGGCTTTTTTGTTTGTTTATCTGTTTGTTTGTCTGTGGAAATGCTTTGCAGCAGTTTCTGTAATGGCACACAGACAGTTGTGTAAAGAATCAATCCTGCTTTTATCTTGCCAGCACATTTCTCTGAATACCATTATAGCAAAGGAACTTACATCCGCCCATCCACCACAACCAGGTTGGGTTTGAGGTAGACCATTATATCCTTGATTTTCATCAGAATATACTGGATCTCAGGATGGCCATTGCCGTCGAGAGCACGCTGGATGTGGACAGAGAACTCCTTGTAAGCCTCTCGGCAGTCGGAAACAAAATTATACTCGCAAAGGCCAGGGAATTGGTAGACGTCTCCATCAAAAGTCTTGAAATGGTTGTTTCCCCAAGTGCTGCAGACATAGTGGCCATGGCTTCTTGTCCTTCCTGTTAAGTGATGAAAAAGAAATAGAGATGAAAAGAAGTGCAAGAAATTATCTAGCGTGAAAAATGGTAAGTGTTCCGTTTTACAGTAAGAACCACCTGCAATTATGTTCACAGTGACTCCATGGATTTCAAGCGGGATCAAGGATCTGCCAGGTCAGCAGAAAATATGGAAATCTCAAAAGCAGAAGAAGATGTTAATAAATAATTCTGAGACCAGGGTATATCCTATAATTTTCACTGAAGTGAAGGAACTTATCTGCATGAAGTGGGGAAACTTAATACTGACCTCTAACTTGGCTTCTGTGTCAAGCATATGATTTTATTTTGAATCTCAGTATTATTTTTATCAATATTAAATTTTTCCAAGAACTATCTTCTTTCTTGGTGCAACACATACTAGAAACAAAACAGGTAGGAAAACAAGAAAGTACTACCTACTCTGGAAGGCTAATATTTTAAATGTTATGAAAGGGCTTTTGCACAACAGGAGATTTCAGTGAAATATTTATTTTCTTAAAAGCAGTAGTGATTTCTATTACTGCAAGACAGAAGTTTTTCAGAAGATAGGTCAGAAAGTAGCCATCGTAGGAGGGAAAAAAAAGTTTTTGCAATAGCAAAAGATGAAGATTATTTGTTCCTTTCCCTGCCATCTATACCAACAAAAAATACAAATTAACAACAATATCTGATCAATCTCCAGATACTGTAGATCAGGGGTGAATCATAAAAGTTGAGCATCCTTGGGAATCTTAACATTTCACAAGATTTTCTTGTAGCATTTAACATGAGAAAGCAAAACTGCTAAGAAAACCCCCAGTTACTGTATTTTGATGGATGTATCAATCATACCAGATACATCCAGCCAAGCTGGAACACTTCCCTCCCCAGAAGGAAGGCTGCACAGAGATTCTCCCAGAGCTCACAGCTGGAAGACCAAATGCAAGGTAAAGCTTTCCACCCATCGCTGAATTCAAGACACAGCAGACCAATAGCCCAAACCTGATCACTGGATATAATTAATCACCTATTCCTCTAAAAAACAGTTTTCAGTAAGAATGCTCCATTCCATCACTTCAAATTCGATAGCAAATACAGTAAGTTAGAGCTTTTGCAAAAGGGTTAAAAATGTCCTAAATGACAAAATAAGTTTTTTTTCAATGTTATTACATTCATTTTTGAGGAACAATTTATGCTGTTCCAAAGCAACAGAAGACACAATCATCCACTTCCTTCATTGCTTTAGCAATGAACCTCTCAAAGTCCCACAGTTCCTTTCTTGCCGTACCTAGTAAAGACTCAATGCATGGAAAGAAAAAGCAACACTGAAAATACTTTCCAAGCACATCAAACTAGAAATCAATGCAGTAGAGATAGGCACTAATCTCTCCAAAGAAAGTAGGATCTACCAATTTTGTCCAAGCAATGCAGCCTCACTATTTGAAAGCTTAAGCGATTTAAGGCATCCTAAAACTCCAGATCATTATTTAAATGCACAGCCTCCTTCTAGCTCCGCAACAATATTTTAACTCTCTCCCTCTTTTCCAGGAGGCAGTCTGCTACCATTTCATCTCCAGAGCTTACCTTTTTTTATTTCACTAGCAGAGGAAAGAGCCAGCCAGAGGAGGAAGAGGCTGGCCGCTCTTAGCCCCATGGTGGCTAAGGTGGGTGAATGGGAACTCCACTGGAAACTCAGCTTTTTATAATACCCACTGAGGCAATTGATTCTGTCACAGGGGAGGAGATTCACAGGGAGGGGGCAAGAGGAGGGGTGAAAAAACAGGTGTGATATTTGCAGAAGATAAGTAAACAGACAATCGTTTTTCACCATAAATGAAGGAATTCAGCATACAGGAAACTATAATATTGATTCAGTAATCATGTAATTTTTTATTGCTCTACTTCATCTACAGGATGCTGTGCTTTTAAATCCTTCAAATGCTCACATCAAGTTTAACCTTCAGTAACCCCCATAACAAATAATGAATTTTGGGGTGGCTGAACAAAGAAATTCCTTGAAGAAATTTTAAGGTGAGACCCTAAAATAAAGGCTTCAAAACCAAAGAATTTTTCATTTTTCATCATCATATAGAATCATTTCTGTAAAAATTAAGTGATGCTTGTGAAGAATGTTGTAATTAACAGTAACTCTTACAAATAAACTGGCACATCATGTGTTGTAGAATTATTTTGCCGGCAATTATTGGATTTCTTTAATTTTTACACCTCTTGGGAACATCTAAACCAAAATACTGCCCACACTGCATATTTTGCCCAAAATATAATTGAGACTGGGTGACATAGTAGGTTCAAGGATTTTAGAGTAAAAGAGGTGCTCTTTCAAACTTTATCATGGTGTAACAGAATGTCCATCAAAGTTGAAGAAATTCTCACATAATATTAAGCTTTAGAGAAAAAGGAAAAAGAAGGGTAAATAGAAAAACATTACTGTTCTTAATCCCCCTAAACATTCTTGCTCATTGTGGCTAACTTTCTACATAAATGATAATATTACAGTCTGCTGTCCCACATCGGATCCTACAAAAGCTGTAGGGTCAGCTTTGCTTTGTGCAGAGAAAGACATTCCTTGGGAGAAGAAGAAAGAAAGCAGAAAACAGAATCACAAACCAGTTCGGAATGCTGCTTTAGAAATACGGGATTTCCACATGCACATTATTTTGAGCCAAAAAGTTCCTTTTAGAAGGTCTTTCTGCAGCTCTCTCCAGGAGACGAAGCACAGGCTCCTTGAGGTAAAGGCACACTTCCTTCAAGACATCTTGTAACACATCTGCTTCCAGTCTCTACATTTCCTCACCAAAAAATTTTCAATGCAGTGATCAGATTTTCAATGCCAAAATCTGTAATTTTCAATGCAGAAATAATTTCATTTTTCAGTGCAGAAATCTGCAACCCACTTGATCATTTCAAGTATTTGTTACTTTCATTGATCATATTACAAGTAGAACTTTGATGTTTTTCAAAACACCAAGGAAACTTTTTACTTAGCGCTTTTGACTGCTCTTGTCAACTAGAAACATTCTCTTATCATAAAAGAATATTCTTTAGTTGCTATTTTTTTATTAAATTATTTTATCCCAACTATAGCCTAGACTTTATCTGAACATCTTCCTGTTTTCCCTCAATACATCTCAAAAGGTTTTAGATTTTCTCCTTTCTCTATTTGAGAATACAAATTTGTGCTTCTCTTACCCTTACATAGCATATCACTCAACAATCCTGATTGAAATTAAGTAGGAACCCTTTACTCTCTCCTGAATCTATCACTGGAAGAATATAGCTTTATTTTCCTTCTTGGAAAATAAAAATAAACCCAGTAATAACCAGTTAGAACTAACTACTCATAGAAAACAAAGCAAAACCACAGGCTACAGAGATCTTTGCTCAGTGGTTACTTTATCAAACCCAACTTTTCATGATAACTCAGAGACATCTCCTCACTTGGCATTTTATGTCTTTTATGCCACCAAAACTCTTAGTTTGGAAGTGTTTTCTAAAATTACTTAGGAGATTCCCAAAGGACTTGTTTTTAAGATTTTCTTATTCTCCCTGTGTTTTTCTAGATAGTCTCCCAGCTACAACTATCTCCTCAGAAGAAAAAGGGTTTCCATGACTTAATTCCTATACAGTCTTTGCAAACTGCAATAGCATCTCCATGTACACAGCAAACATGACCCCTTTTCAGATTGAACAGGATGTGTATGCTGACAGGTGTAAGCTGGAAACTTGCATATTTTCCATTCAGGTTTCTTTGCCACAAAACTTCTAGATCTCAATGGAATCAGTCTCATTAATTTCTTGTGACTGGGAAAGATAATCATCCCTCAATTGCAGTTGCACCATTCCTCAGTTCAATATGCTGTTATTTTTATAATTTTAATATATTCTGTGTAGGAGAAGAGCTATTTTTAGCTAAGCACCTCCAAATTTTAGAGACTGATTTACTCTACTCCAGCTTTGTCCTGCCTATACAGGGAGCATGACTCCTTCTTGAGCTATGAAGTTACACAGGACAATTTTCCTTCCGTAGTCTTTGCTTCTCAGAGTGGCCAACAACTTCCCATTGTCCCTTCTTCTGACATATATGGGGCTTGCTGTGACACCCCTAACTGGAGAATAAGGGACATCAGCATGTCTTTCAGCACTGAGACCACTCTTACAGAATTCACACTTGAGCTTACATGGTTATGATGATCTGAAGAGAAATAAATTCAGATCCTTATCTCCAAAAGTCCTAGGTATTTGTACTTTTGCTAGCATTAGAAGGTGTCCTAAACTATACTGTCTCTGTTTCCTTATTGACAGAAGGGTAACGATCCTGTCTACCATCTGTTTTATACGTTTTTCAGAAATAATCAGTCTTTGAGTTAGACATCATAGCCTGGTTTATTTCTTGCTCAGCTACCTTAAGGGTTTTTGGACTATATATTTTAACCCAAAAGAACCTGATTGGTAATGCACAGATAACATCTTTATGCATGCATTAATTTATTTACCATAGATTGTTTGACAACCTGAACTAACCAGTCATTTTGCAACAAAGTTAATTCCACTTTATCATTACCATCTTTTCCCTAAGCTTACATAAGTAATATATACCTGAGTTGACCTTTCTGTAGAATTTTGTGCCATTCCTGCTTCCAGTCAGCTTAATCAGAAGTCACCTTCCTCTTTCCAATTTTGGTCAGGTGTTCAGATGCTTTTATTACCAAAGATACTACTTATAATTCCACATGCTGTCACTATGCAAGTGGCAGCAGAGCTAGGACAAGAAGAAGGATTTCAATGTTTAGGTTCCACAGTTGAGTATTAACAGAGATGGTTTTTTAAAAGTTCCTGAAGCCCGTGAGTAGCAGTACAACTTCCCATAAGCTTTCAATATGCCTGACCTAGAGGCCCCAACACCAGTGCTACAAAAATCACTGCTAAAATCCAAAGCATAAAAAAGAAAAGCTGGTTGCATGGCAAGTGTGTTTGTTGTAGCAGCAGATGCAAAAGCAGAGATAAAAGATGTGTTTTGAGTCATGGTTATGTCATTGCATTGTTTCCCTACTCTTAAACTTTTATGAGACTATTTCAAATCGTTCCATCAGCATAGCTAACATTTAATGTTCATTTAGTTACAGGGTAAATTTATTTTGTGATATACTTGTTGTTAAAAACAGAATCTACATGGCAGATTATCTTCATTCTGAATCACACTGCAGAATAAAAGAGCCTATATGTATCATTTATATAACTTTAAGATAAAATTTAGCTGAGACCTGACTGGGTGTATTGTTTTAGGAAGAATAAACAATTTTTCAAGAATGTGGGGTCTGTTTCTATCAGTTAACATATCAAGAAGAAATCTAATTGCAGTCTTGCCACAGCAATCACAGGATGACCACTGTACAAATACCTCAAAAAGTACAATTACACTTGGTGACTGAGGCCTTTTCCTTATCTGCTTTTGTAGTCCTGACTTGCTGATCGCAGGCTGCCAAGCCAAGCAGCAATGTTCTATCAGTAACGTTGTTCTGCACAAGTGGCCATAGGGTTTTATTCTCCTACTCTTCTACCTGCCAGAATTTCACCAGAGCACACACAGCCTTACACATGACCATAAAACAGCACATCACTCCTTTTATTTCAAGCACAGAGATCATCTGAACTGAGTTGCAGGAACTCCCTTGGCAGCCATTGTAAAATTGCTCTGCTAAATCCAGTCAAATTATGAATTCAGAGATGTAGCGTATACAATCACTGTATTTCCTTGACTGAGGCATTTAAGCCCCCTATGGCACACCTTGACAAAAACTTAACCAGAAACAGAGACTAGCAGCAGTAGGCTGAACAGTACATGGAAGTGCTAAAGCAATGACAGAGAAGTAATGGGAGTGAATTTCATTTTGACATGCATGCTGACAACAGATTAATCCAAAATTATCAACACAAAAGGAGCCAGCATTTAGATAGATGTAAAACTGATATAGAATCAATTTCATCACTGTAACCCTGAGCAGCTTTTGGGTTATGTGCATTACTTTTCATTCCAAGAAATACAATATCATAAGGTATCTTCTGATGCTGGCTGTAGTATAATGTTCTTACATGCCCTTCCTTAAGTGGTTTGGCATAGAAATTTTAAGAATAACATCCATTTTCCACTCATAGTACTTCCTTCTTTGGAAGTCAGCAGCTCATCCTCTGAGACTAAAGCTGCAAAACATTTCCTTCTCTTCCAGTTAGGTACAAGTGGGGATAAACATGTGACACACAATTACTGAAGATTAGGAAGGGATGTAGGAAATAACTTAAATTAGCACGCTTTCCTACCAACACTTAGCTTCTGGAAAATTTTAGTCTGCAAAAAGACTCTGCATAGCAGCTTCTACATCAATACACAAGGAAAAATGCTTGATAATTTAAAATAATAACAGAATTCTCTTTTGCTCAAGCATCAGTGGGATTTACTACAGGGAAATGGACTGAGCCAAGAAGAGATAGCATGGAAAGGGCACCAAGGGAATTACACTTCACATCTTACTCTGGTAATACACATACCATACTCTGGTAATTTTACCCCAGGAGAATGGGATTTTCCAAATCTTTTACTTTCTCTATGGGAAAAGGTGGGGAAAAATATTGGCGAAA